CCTGCTTCGTATTCGGGAGCTCCCGGGTTCAAAATCTCTGCCCCGAGAACCGGATATCCTGAGGTTTTTTCCGTGGTTTTCCTCAGTACGTCCAGGCAAATGTCGCTTCCTTCAACATCCTTTCCTACTCGTTATCATCCTCTCATTCGACGCTGCACACTCTGAGCTATAAAAAAACGTCGTTAAATAAACAAACTACAAAATAGATATCTCCGGGCTTCGTTCAGCTACAAATACGCACGCTCTCGGCCACGTAGCCGAGGTACAGGGAGGGGGGGGGGGGGCCAAAACCATAGGGCATAAGGACACCCTCGGTCAGTGTTGTTCCTCTAAAGCGAGAAGCCACTGGGCCCTATCCTGAGCCAGATTAATCCAATCCAAACCCCCAACAATATTTCCTCCAATCTATGAGAAAATATTAATTTTCAAAAACATTTTAGAAACGTTCTAAATCTTAACCAAACACTGGATAAGTATTTTTACGTAATTTGCGTTGTCAGGAAACCGTAGAACAGAGATAAATACATCCATTCTTCAGCACGAAATACATTAGAACACGGCTGAAGCCCACATTACTTTTATCTATGGTTCTGGAACGACGTGATAAACCTTGAGAACCATAAACTTGTTTGCTCCCTACGACTGGTAAAGCGATAAGATATACAGGGTGATTCAAAATGTTAGGGCCAAACTGAAAGAGCTTATAGAGAGAGAACAAAGGACTTTCGAATAGGAATCCATGTCCTCCGAAGTTATCCTGAGTCAGTCGAGGTCGTTGAAGGTAGCAGATGACAGAATGACGAATTGAAATGAGTAAGAGAAGTCTACAGTTCAGTTCCCCGTTTTAAAACGTTTTTAGGCGATTTTGAAAAAAAACACCCCCGAGAAAATGAACGACAAACATCAGATAAGCTGAATGATATCCATCACAGATTCGAACTCGGTTCCTCCCGAATACGTACACATTTTACGACGAACTAGGGGTCCTGTACCAGCAGGAAATTTGTGAGTTGGGCTACGATAGCGAAATTGGATGTAGAGAACAGTACTTACTGCGACAGAAGTGTTGGTAACGCACGTGTCGACACCACACAATGAACTAAGCTCCAGTCACGTAGCGTCTGAAATAAACGTTACAATTCTTGGTGCAATGCGAGGTGTTGGGTGACGTAACACCTGCACAGAACAAAGCCAGCGACGGAGAACCCAGAATGAAGGGTGTAAACGCAATTTCGACGATTTTAACAACGTTGAAAACAACACCTGCTCCCAAGTATCGTGTATTGTGTTATCGTTTCAGAAACTGAACACGGAAAACCCCGGTATTCCTTTGTTTCTTTAAGCAGTTCTGTAATGTATTGCTCTGAACCGAGCTGAAAGCACGGAGGACTTCCTTGTGACAATTGTTAATCTGTCAGCCAACACCAGGGATTTCCAAACTCTTACAGACCTGGGGGGCCACATCCGACGTTATGGTCTCGCTGTCTGTAAGATTCCAAATGAGAGCATTACTGCAGCGCAATTTTAACATGTTAAGAAACTACTAATTCAGGTCACATGCGGTTTATGATGTCGGGTGATTATTTTACGTGAAACAGCGTAACGCGGGAGAATATATATTTTTTTTTAAAATGTACGCGGCCAGCAAAAACCACGCTTGAGGGATGCTGTTCTACACGAAGACTCAACTGAAGATTTCCCTTACATTGCCTGACTTCTAAATCACCGTTCTCCCTATCAAAATTCTGTCGCCACGTTAAATCCACTGAAATGCCTTGCGATTTCTTGTTCAAACCGTGGATGTTGATCAGTGAACAAGTCTTTTAATTGGGATAGTCGTTGGTTCGGAGCGGAGCTAAGTCCAGCTCAAGGAGAATTAGAGGTATCTTTCCAATTTCCACAATCACAAATCCAATTGAAGAATAATTTATTAAAAAATGTTGATATAATGCCTAGTATCACTTACAAGAATGTTCTGTCTAAATCGATCCAATATTAATGAATTATTATTACTCCCAACATAAGTATTTATAAAAGGAGTGGGGTTATAACAGTCTGCACGTGGTGGTGAAACATGAGAGTTGAATAAAGACATTCAATTCCTATTACTTGGTAACAGCTCCAATCGTTCCAAACACGTGTGAATTTGTAGGTCAAACAGCCTTTGTTCTCCTTGATTAGTCATAACCTAAGAATCGAGCCATACAATGTTACATACAATAAAATTTAAAATTATTAAACTTGGGGAATATTTCCCACAATTCAGCTCAAACTCAAGACAAAATTTCCTTACCCTTAGCCAGATGAATCCACTCCACACCCTCGTAAGCGGATCATTTGAGTTGACGTTGTTTCAGTGTCCTAGTTGTGTGAGCTACATAAAGATTCTCATCGTAATCACACATAACTTTGCTCACAATGCCAACACATCTTATTAAAATCTCGACGCTCTGAAGCCGAAGCTAGTCTGAATAATATATAAGAATCCAGTCCGTACCGCGAAGAAAACACTACACTTCACCGTTGCACGGATCAACTAATTAACGTTGTTAAAGGAAATAATTGCTAGAGTCGATATGAATCATACAAGCAAAATGTAATTACAGAATGTTGAAAAGTGTTACGTGCCCCCCCCTCTCCTCCGTGCCCCTTTGCAGTCAGAAAGGGGGGGGGGCAGCATGTGTGAGGGAACTCGCATGGCTTGCCAGTGTGTTGTAAACTAGCGGTCGCTGTGTGTGAGGTGTTTAAAAACGTAGTACAACTTGCGAGCAGTACAAAGGTAAGGCGCCCGGAAAATGTTTCCTCGTGTCCCAGTGACCATCGCCCGAAAATTTCAGTTCTCGAGAAACGACTGAATTTTGCGTTTGTTTAATGTAACTGATAAATGTGTCAGAGCGTTTCGAAAAAAACACCGCGTTATTAAATTAAAGTTATTGAGCATTGGAAACAAAACACAAAACGAGGTGTGGCATAGACACAGGGGTGAATGAACGATGGAACATAACAACGAGCAGATGGCGACACAATATATGGACGGTGTGCGCGAACGGCTCGCGAGTGACAACTCGCTTCTTGTCGGTCTCATTAATGCTGTCTAACCCAGTGGTATTCAACCTTTTTTGTTCGCGTACCCCCAGATAAAATTTCTCTTCAACTTTGTACCCCCAAAGCTGTTGGTGTATAATTCAAGTTATACATAGTATATAATCTACATCTAAAATAAATTAAATAAATTACATTACTGATTATTCAGTGTTTATCATAAAATAATATATATTTTTTTAAATTTCACGTACCCCCTAAGATATCTTCGAGTACCCCAGGTTGAATACCACTGGTCTAACCTAACAGAAGTTTGATGTCTAGAACACTTTCTGCTGTGACAGCCAATCACATCTGCTACAACGCTGAATCTATATTAAATGAGTGTCGCTCTATGAACTAGTCCAGTACATTAATCAGGCACGATTAATCGATCACAAAGCGCAGAGAAGAATGTTTGATGAACCCAAGAGACTTGAAGTAAAAGGAGAATTGAGACAATTACGTAATGAGGAACTTTTATCAGTTACAGGCCTATTGTTCACCAAAAACTATTATCAGGATCAGCAAATGAAATGGTCGAGGCACTTAGAACACGTTGAAACTATGACAAATGCAAATATTTTCGACGGAAAACCTACCTGTGGAGACCAAGAGAGGGATGGATGAATAACATTAGAATGGATGTTGCGTGAGGGTTGAAATCGCTTGTAAGAGGGTCCAGTTATGGGTTCTTGCAACAAATAAACAAAAGTGAAGCACGTAACTGACGTTTCGGCATAATTCACGGTATCGCCAGTGACTTTAACGATCGGTTCGGTGTGAAAGTGGTGTTAAGGTGTTTACTTATGATTTTCCCGGAGCGGACTCTGACCTTCCGCCGCCATGTTGCAAAACAATGAACACGGAAAGCCATCACGTCTCTCTGTCCCTGACAGAAGTATCCTCAACCGACCGGTCCTACAAGTTTCGTCGTTTACAATTTGTATGTTGGCCTGCGGGCAGCCACTCCTCCGAACTGCATTACGTCATCACAGCTGAACTGAGAGATGTACTGAGTACACAGTTAGAAACAGTTTTGCCAACGTAAGGTAAAATGGGGGTATTGAAGTTAAGGATTGGAAAACAATTCAGAATTTCTTTCTCTCGCTCTGAAAGCAGCTGTACATGTTCATGAAGTGGGTGCCATGAACGCGTAATTTGGAGGTTATGTCCGTTCGTTTCACTTCAGAAAATGCGAAACGAATTTGTCTCAAATATGGGAAAATGGCGGTCTGCTCTGGAGCATGTCGGGTCATTGCAAATGAAGCTCAATTCTCACGAGACCGCCTCAACAGACGCTCCTCTAATTTGCTGACGTCGATTATCGGAGTACAGTACTTCATGAAAAGTTAATAATAAAAACTCTACTAATCAGGAAACTGTCATTTAACAGCCACAGATGGTTTGCTCACGGAGTAATGCAGACACCAGCGAAGGCACGCGCATGCGCAGAATGGTTGATAATCACATTACTGTGAGCAGGCCTGGAAAACACATTAATACATCATAAAATGGCTGTCTTATGGGATTTTGCCCGGTAGAAGTTTACCGACGTTTTCCATAACAGTGTTACTTCTACTTTGAATTCTAGAGGTAGTGGGTTTTGAATTTTGGTCAAACACGAGCTATCCTTTATGTTTCTCGTAGTTTTCCTAGGGCCCTCCAGGAAATTCCACTATAATTCCTTGTCCAGGCCATGCTGTCAACTCTTAACACCTTTGAATCATTATCATCGGTGGTGTTCGTGGTGTCAGATAGGAATATAATATTAAAATGGGTCTATAGCAACAGGATATGAGACTTTGTGGAGTGGCTCAGGGCTAATGCGAACATATCAGTTAACCTTCGGGGTCTATAAACGGTGGGGATCTCTAAGAGACAGTCACCATAATAGCGTTTAAGTTGAGGGGGGGGCCCCCCGGTGTTGAACCCTCCCTACCACTAGTGATTTAGAAGATCAACTTCACATCCACGAAGCGTTCTGAATTAATACGGCGTGAGAGACTTCAATTACGAAGGCGAGATTCAGATATTTCGTAAATACGTACATGGATGTCAAAATAAAAATTCTTTTGGTGTAAAAATTTCAAGATCTTGTGTGCTGAGGACTTATGTTAATGGTTATTACGCACACAAATGAATACCATAATTAAATAATTAATTCTTAGATTAAAGCATTTTAAAACGTTGTGCCATAAATTATTCCCAGAACGTCGTCTTTTTTTTCTCAGGAAAACATCCACGATGATCGCCATAAATTATTCCCAGAACGTCTTGTCTCTTTTTCTCAGGAAAACATCCACGATGATCTATGTGTTGTGTGCCATCCTCTTTGCCTCAATGGTCACCTGCTACGACCAGGATTACTGTTTTGCGTCTGAGGAAAACCCGTACCTCATGTACGGAACCAAGACTGCTTACGAGTTTGTACACGAGAAACCGAGGAACCCAGAGGCAGTTCCCTGTAAGTACACACTGCCCCTGGAATTGACTATTCTCTTTAAACAACCCAGCATTTGACGAAACGTCGATTTGATAACGCTCATGCACATTTAGGTCTTCCTATAATTAATTTATTCATATTTAATTGTAAGTACGAAGTGTCGCGGACGTTTTATCGATTTAACACATTAAATTTACCGCTAACCAAATTCGATCAGGGAAAACTTATTTATGTTAATATTATATTTTGATTTCCTTACTTAATTCGCGTACCACTCATTGGCTCGCGTATTACCAGAGGTTGATAAACGCTGTTGTAGAACAAATAACGCCCAAGAACTTGTCGGTGTTATTATTAACACGTTAAGTCGGACTTCCGTGTTAGTCCGTTGGAACTACAAACTACCGTTTCTTAATTAGCATATATTACATGAGGAATGCGAGGTTTCCCCTCTTCTTCGATATCTCGCTCTGTCTCTTTAAAGTCCATTGGTAACTTGACAATATGTAGCACTTGTTTTAGCATTCAGTAATTCTGAATCCTACCCACAGAGTGTGTTAGTTGCAATTCTCATCGCAAAAAAACAATAATTTCTTAAAACAGCGTCGTTTTGGGTCTCACAGTGTAACTTCCCTTGCGGGTGGAATCAGAACAATGGCCATCTGGCCGGTCTGAGAACAAAGTGTAGAAAGGCAGCTAATTAGCAGTAAGTGGCACGAACTCAAGCACATCTGCCACTTCTCTCTTTGTTCTAGAATTTTTTTTTTTTTAGTAGAGCCGTGAAGACATTTAAACAGATTAGGTCATTCTGATCGACGTTGCCAAGGCGAGGTTCCTTCTAAACGTGGGTGTGTTTAGATGAAGACATAATGATTCCTACAACTGCGATGCTAGGACATCATTAGCGGAAATACTTGGATGACTCAGTGGCGATAACACTGCCACCTACAATGGCGGTGTCCTTGGAGAAACTTGGAAGGAAAAATAAGATTAAAAACAAATATATCCTTCTAAACAAGGCTTCCAATCATCCTGCTTAAGACATTACTCTGAAAAAATATGAAGACGTATGTCACGTGTTGCTCAGTATGCATTATAACTAACGCTACAAAGCAGAGTTGTTCTTGAGAACCTAAAGTTTGCTCTGCTGAGTTACAGGCTTACAGATATTGTGTTAGGCATCGCCCATTTGATATATACGATGTGCGATCGGAAAGTTTCAAGACTGTGTCAATAGAGGGCGAACCGGATGTAGTACGAGCGTCTGCCGCTACGGGGTGCGGCCTACATTCATAGTGAATCAGTGTGCCAGCCGGCATCATCGAATTAGCATTTGTTTCTTAGTTACGGGCGTTTTGGTAGTGCATTACACCGACCCTCCTGCGATTTCAGGAATGGCGTGTGCATCAAATTTTGCCAAAGACTCGCCAAAACGGCTAAGGAAACCTATGAAATGCTAAAGCAAGCATTTGGGGAGTCCGCAATGGGTCGTGCACAAACGTTTGTGTGGCATTCACGTTTTAAAAAGGGCCGGCCGAACCTCTGTCGATGATGACGAGAGTTCTGGACGACCATCTTCGAGCACAACGCCCGAAAATGTTACGAAGATCGAAGTCGTACCATCAACGACTTGTGCGACATTGTTGGGATAGACTATGGGACCTGTCAGCTGATTCTAAAGGAAGAACTCCACATGCGACGCATCCTGTCTGAGGACCAGAAGCAGAATCGACTTCTCGTTTGTCAGGAGCTCAAAGATCTTGCAAGAACCGACCCCAACTTCCTTTCTAAGCTCCGTGTGACTTCTTCCTCTTCCCAAAGATGAAAATTCAGCTAAAGGAAAGGAGATTTGAGACGATAGAAGAGATTCAGGCAGAATCGCAGATGGTGCTTGACAGGCTGACAAAGAAAGATTTCCAGGGATGCTTCCAGGCTTCGCAGCGGCGCTGGGATCGTTGTGTTCACTCCCAGGGGAACTACTTCGAGGGTGATGGATGAATTTAATACCTGAGATAAGTGCACGGGTTTTTATATTCTTTATTAAAAAAATTATTAACAACCGTTGATATCAAACCCAGTATCTTTTGGTTCAAATATCTTGGTGTGAAACATATGAAGATTTGTAATTTTAGCAGCAACATAATTCTAATTTGCGTCGTTTACTTACAGACTGCAGACCTGTCCAATTCTGGATGTTGACCCGCCATGGAACACGGTTTCCTGAAAAGAAAGCTATATACAGCATGCAGCATCTGCCAGACCTTCGAGATCAGATCATCAACAACCATGAGAGACGACGAAGTTAGTAGCCACGTCACAATATCTCAGTATTAATGATGCATCCCTTAAAATTCTGGCCAATTGCATTTCAGATATCAACTCAGGAATAAAAGGGGGTGTGACTTCACAGAATTTATGTACTGTAAAATGAGATACGAGAATGATTATGAATTCTGAATTAAAAAGGATGATAAAAGGAGCTCTTGTTACCTATTTCCAAGGAATTCTGACTTTCACTTCAAAAAAAGTGTTCAAATATTCTTATTATTTTGTCGACAACTTTACAAAACATTTATTTTGACACACACACACACAAGGATTATAAGAATATTTTACGTAAGGGTACACGAGTAGATAATTCCAAGAGCTGATAATATCCCTGGATGTCAAATTCACTAAAAAATTATTTATTAAACATTCAGAGGGAAGGCTGTGCAGTGAGGACTTGGAGAATCTCAGAAAATGGACCCTATCGGTGTTTCAAAATCAGGCGAAAGAACTCGCCAATCAAGGATACGACGACCTCAAGTTCATGGCTCGACGCTTTAAATCTCAGTTTCCGACGCTTCTGAATCAGACGTACAGTCAAGACTTGTACGAGGTAAGTGACAGCAGGCAAATGTTACTGCATTAATTTAAATTATTGTTTAAAAAAAAATTAATTTTCTGCAATTTGATCCTGACTGTACCTTGAGTCAGGATAAGATTTGATCTGTTTCATTTCCCTTCTATCTCAAGTCTTAATGTTCAAACTTGAAATTCTCCAAGAGGATTCCCCATCAAAAATTCTGAGAGTGTTTCTTATTTTCGTTACTTAAACTCTTTGTCCTGACAATACCACGTACAAAATCATTGTTTTGTCTGAAGTTTTCTCATCCAGATGTTATTTCTTGAAAATAAAATACATGGACCAACATATCCGAGATCCTTTCGGTTAAAGTGTTTCGTTCGTGTACGATGAAAGTACGAGGCGCGTCCACAAAGTAAGTTTCCCACTCGTCCCACAGCTAGCAAACCTTATATTGCGCGAAGCGACTGTGCGTACGTGATAGAGCAATGACGTAGCATGGCACATGCACTAACGGCACTTCCCGCGTTCTCACAGTAGCATCGTTGCAGCTGTTGAAGATGGAGGTTCTTATTCCAGCCCCCGCCGACTGTGAAGTGCGGTCAGTGATAACGCTAGGCCGCACACGGCTCGACAGACAGCAAGTCTCCTGCAGGAGTTCAGCTGGGAGGTGTTTAATCATTCACCCTACAGCCCGGACCTCGCTCCCAGTGATTTCCATCTTTTCCTACACCTCAAGAAATTCCTGTCCGGTCAGCGTCAGCGTCAGCGTTTTGAGAATGAAAGAGAGGCGGAGATGGTTGTCACACAGTGGTTCCAATCCCAGGCGGCAGACTTCTACGACACAGGTATTCAAAAGTTGGTCCCACGGTATGACAAATGTCTCAATTCCGGTGGAGAATGTGTTGAAAAATAGCTGGACACTTGTTGTATCTGTTGCAATAAATATTTCCATGAAATTGTGTTTTCTTTCTGTCCTGACTCAAAATCTTGATGGCTGTCTCATCACAGAGAAACCTCTCAAAGACCTGATATTTTAATTAATTCTTCCTCGTATCTGTTCAAGTTCCGTTTCACCGACTCGGAGCGGACCAAAGCCAGCGCCATTGCATTTGCCGAAGGACTGTTCGGAAGAAGTTCTGGTATCTACTTTCCTGCAGCTGTCAAGAACGATACTCTCTTAAAGGTACATATTCTTCCAAGATTTTATTTTACAGCAAAGATGGCTTCCAATCTTGTGAACATGATTTTTAAATGCACGCCAGAAAAAGGATTTTACATTTTAATGCCAGTGAGTCCTTAGTCTGGTAGAAGTTTACCAGTGTTTCAGAGGTCTTTGCTGCCTCCATCATCAGGGTGATGTGTTGTTCTGAATTTAGGATGGATTTTCCATCGTCCCTCTTCTAAATTTCAGTGGCATGACGTAACCAGTCACGTTTAATTCCTGTTCCATTAGAAGTCGTCACTGTGCTTATTTATTTATTATTTAGAATGGTGACTGATCTTCAAAAAGTATGCAATTTTTAATAGGGTACTTCTTCAAACAAATAATGACATTGAAAACAATTTTGATTTTATGACAGTAATAAATAGTGAAAATAACTGTGCATCGGTTTCTACACCGAGATAAGTGCGAAGTTATTAGACCGAGAAAGAGCTGTCTTAACATTTTTCTTAAAAGAACTTAAGTTTCAAAGTAAACGCGTTAATTTTGGAAGTCAGTTACAAAATACGTATAATATTTTAAACCTACAAAGTCCACTGCTTCAGAATAATAAAATGTTTCATACCAAAAGTAATTTACTCTAACATATACAGTGTGTCCACAAAGTCCCTTCGGGGTTTTGAAAAAATTGTGGCGCGCTAACAAATTGAGTTAGCCACGTGCGGTTTGCGGGAGATTAAAGTGAAACTCTGGAAGTTTTTTTACTGACCTCGGTAGACCTCGATGTGGGCTCCCTTGGTAGCACAGAACGTCCAGACGATATCCGAGCTCTTGCCATGTTCTGAGAAGCATGTCCGCCGGAATAGCCGAGATCGCATTCCTGATACGGGTCTTCAGGTCATCGAGTCCGTTAACTGGTGTTCGGAACACGTCGCTCTTGAAAAACTAAGATAAATCTGGTTCCCCTCCGTTGCAGGCTTACGACAACTGTCCGAAATGGAAGGAAGAAGTGGGAAACACTAATAAGACACTGGAGGAGAAGCATCTGTTCCAGATGGGTCCCCAGATGCAAGCACTTTTACAAAATGTGTCAGAGAGACTGGGATTTGGCTACAAGCTCACTTTTGGTACGTTTCGCATGACACGCAGAACAGCTTAATCAGTTCCATGATTTTCTTCATATATCGAAACTTCTGCAAAAGTGGAACATACTGCCATTACTTAACCATGGTGTCCCACCTGCTTGAATGATAAATAAATTTTTAATTTTGTATTGTTTTGTACGATTCTCACTGTAAACATGGATTACTTACTGAAACATCATTAACAAGTTGATCCTTCTAATAGTAAAGCGTGTTGTTATGTTTGTTTTATGGACCGAGTTCTTAAATATCATTTAGACAAGCTTTGACTGTAAATGATTAATCTACAATTGTGATCACTGTCACGGACATTTATACACTCCCAGAGGCAAAAAAACATTCAGATTTTGTCCTGTAAAAGAAATTTAATGTGCGCGCACGTGCGCGAACTATTGCAAGAACTTTAAGCTTAAAGATATATATATATATATAATATCGCTTCAAAAATTTGTATTTATGAAACACTGAAACAAGGAATGTGCTCGTACAGACTATATCGAGAGTAAAATTTTTCATTTCAGTACAACTGGATGAGATGTATGATATGTGTCGCTTTGATAAAGCGTGGAATGTAAGAAATATATCACCGTGGTGCGCTGTCTTCTCTAAAGAGGAACTTCATGTAAGTGTTTCAAAATCTAAGCTCCGTATTTAATTTTCATTGACATTTCAACACAAGGCGTACTTCATGCGGATACGTTTCGGCATAAACATGCCGTCATCGGCGTTGCAGCGCGCTATATCAAGAAATATCCACTTCACTGCCAGTAAAATTATTAATATCATCCAATTTCATGTGCTATATCACATATATCACATATGCCACTAACGAGCCCAATGTCGACCCCCCCAGATGATACCTGATGGATGTGGACAAGACAAAACTTAAGTATTTGGAGAAAAACTTTTCTCAGAGCTACTTTATCCATTACAAATCCTTCGTTGACTGCCCCGGGTGGAAACCCAGATTTTTGTGGTGCGAAGTTGGCAAGTAACGTCCAGGTCATGGCACAATGTACCAGCACAGTTTACGATAAATATCATAAAAGATAAAAATATGTATGGAATACAATTTTAACCAAATTGTTATTATGATATGATTGATCAGATAACTTACATGATTAATATGTAATGATGATGTTTGCAATAGTACGCAAATTTCAGTGTTTTGAAGTAATTTGATTCTTTATACTGTAACGCGTGAAACTGGATAATGTTTTGAAATTGTACTGACAATGATGATCTCTCTTCATATATCATGATGTAACACTGATGATGAAATACATCTGTAGTAAGAGCAGTTTATGTTACGGCACAAATGGAAAATTAGCTCATAATATAAATATAATAATACAATATGAAAATATATACAATAAACATAAGCGTTACGAAGCACTGATTATTCGATTAATTTATTGAGGGGTTTATCAACTCACCTCTCAACCGGTTGCATACTGCAACACAGTGATACAGACAGCAAAGATCCTAGATCCAGGGTGATGAAATGGATCTACGAAAGATAATGGCATTTAGAAAAATCAGAAATAATAAATATATGGAACTAATAAACAAGCAGGATGAGAATTTTAATTTTAATTTTCTTTTGAAATTTATTTAAAAAATAAGTAAGTTTAACCAGAAAATACAGGTACTTCGGTCAACACTTACCAGTTTGTGTGCGAACTACTTTCTTGTAAAAACATTACGAGATATAATAACTTTTAATAACTGAAGAGGTACACTACAATTAAAGTAAAATAAAATTACATTCACAAAGAAATTAATAGCAGAATGTTCAGAATAGTTTGTCTTCCAGTCTAAGATATTATAGATAAAAAAATTGTAACTTCCCTCTTGTTTTGTATGAAACTAGGTCTCTCCAATTAAGGGAAGAACACACGATTGAAAATGTTTGAGAACAGGGCGCTAATGATAATATTGTAGCCTAGAAGGGAGAAATTAACAGGAGGCAGATAAAATTCCATAACGAGGATCTTCGTAATTTGTACTTTCCGCTAAATATGATCCAGGAGACCAAACTCAAGGAGGATAAGGTGGGTAGTGAATGTAGCATGCATGGGAAAGACAAGAAATTCATGCGATTATTAAAATTATAAAACCTGGATGGAAGAGACAGTGTGGAAGACCAGACATAGATAGAAGATAATATTAAAAGAGAGCATAAATAAATGGTGCGAGGGTGTGGATTGAACATGGCAATGAACCTTAAGATTCCATAAAAGGAAGAAAATTTCTTGAAGATCTGAGAGGTTATTAGCTTCTAAAGGAGGACTTTGTTCCATTGAGTTACTTTATTGTAACATTTTGATGGTTCCCTTTAATAGTTTATAGTTTCTCTCCCTGAAGATTTTAATTCGGATTAATCTTGCAGCTCATGGAGTACAGGGAGGATCTTGAATACTATTACCGTACCGGATATGGCAATGAAATTAACGTGAAGCTAGGATGTCCTACCGTGAAGGACCTCATCAACCGTTTCAGGTGAGATCAAAAGTTTTATAATGTTGAAGTGTATCACTGAATATAAGAATTGTGTAGGCATTCCTTTAGGAACATTTCACAGTAAAAAGACTGCCATCTTCTGGGTTGTTGTCGGTAAACATCTTCCAGACTAAACAGCACAACGACCCAGAAGACAGCAATCTTCAGACTCACCGTCGTGAAGACCTCAAATCCTACATTTTCACAGTAATGTTCATGCTTCTGTGATCTTTGGCATGATTATATGTTCTTTGCTCTGGATGGAATTGAATTCAGTGACATCTACAGTTCTAATTTAGGCTTTGAATCAAACGAAATCTGGGCCCTGGACATCTTGAACACTCATGAAAAATGTTTTAGGCGAAATCTGTAGCCTCTAATTTGGTTAAAAATTTTGTGTTAAAAAATCCTACAAATTTTTGGTCTATGAATTTCTACAGCCCTAACAAAGAGTTGCAGATAAAATGAAATGGTCTTGTTTCAGTCAAATGGAGAATCAGAACCTTCACGATAGGATTCAGCCAGCTGGAATCTTTTACTTCAGCCATTCCGCAGCATTACACATGACTCTGGCCCGGCTTGGAATCGCTAAAGATCGTGAACACCTTACCCACAATAATTATAACACGATGAAGAGTCGAGAATGGAGGACATCGAAGATTGGACCTTTTGCCTCTAACTTAGCAGCTGTATTGTTCAAGTGAGTATAACCAGGATACATAAATTATTTTTTTAAAAACTTGATTTTCTTACAAATGGTGAAGATTAAGGATAGCTTGTTTAGGAATCAGCATTAAGTTAATTTATGCAATTGATATTTAGCCAGCCCTCTTTCATTTCCTCTATTTCTAAATAAAGTCATGGACACTGAGCACGTTCTGGAGACTGGTATTTGTGCGAAAAGCCATAGAAGCATTTCCCTTATCTCTATGTTTTGTTTTTGTTTTTATAAATTTTTAATTCTTTTAAACACAGATGCAATATAATTTTGTTACAGATGTGATGAAGGGGACAGGCATCGAGTAATATTCTACCTTGGGGAACATCTCGTACGTTTTGACGGCTGTAACGTAGGGCTGTGCAGTTGGTCATACATCAAAGATAAATTTTCTAACATTGCCGAGGACTGTAACCTTGATTTCTGCTACAAGGATCGCAGCGGAACTCAACAACATCTTTCCATCTCGTGGCTTACAGTTGCTGCTTTTGTATTCACTGCATTCTGCAGACAAACCTTCATTTAAAGTTCATAGTCGTTACTCGGTCTTTTGCCTCCTCCGCTATTGGCAACTGGAGAGCCATATAATTGTTTTTATTACTTCAGGTAAAAGTTTCTAACCAATAATAAAGAGTAAATCAGAGTTACATGGGGAAGTACGATGTACTAAAACGAGCTTCACTGTTGGCCTACTACAGGGAAAAATTCATTTTTTTTCCAATGACCTTGAAGTCAGTGGTTCTCTGTCTTTTTGAGACTGTGAACCTTTTAATCAGAATAACATTATGTTATATTACAAAAATTAGATGCTCAGAATAAGAATTTAATCCAGAAGATCTATAAGAATAATTCAGGTCTGCGAATAAGTTAAGCAACTGAACTTCAGACAATGAAGACTCATGCACACTGTTCAATTTTGTGTAATTTATTTTTGAAATTTTAATATTTCGTAACACATCTTTCAACGTATTATCATAAACACAATATTCTTAAACTTCTTATTTTAAACACAAAATGCAAAATGAAAAAAAAACTATACTCTTTTGCCCATGAGATCTTTTATCAATATTATAATAATGTTTTGAGTAGAAATTTTCAGGTAGCAGCAGTTATGAAACTGAGATATTCCCTTTCATGGTAAGAAATGGGGAAAAATGTGTAACTCTACAAACAAATTATGTTGCTGAAGGTAATAAGTAACTCCCCAGTTGGCGTAAAACATAATCTGTTCAAGAAATTCGTTTTTTATTGTAGAGGCTGAAGGTTCATTTTTTTCAATCATGAAATTCTGCCAAAGGACCACGTCTGTCTGTTTGGACTGCCGTTGCATTTAAGATGTGTTAACGATGGTCAGATATTTTTTATATTAAACTTATTGATAACATGAAAAAATTTAGGTGACATAGCATTTGACGCGGAAGAAGAGACGAAGTGACGCATTCCATATCAATAACTCGTGTTTCATTATTATTTCACATGATTAATTTTTCCAAAAATCTGTGGGTCTTGCACGTGATACATTGCTTAAAAGAGACTGTTTCATGCAGGCTGGTTTTGAGTTAGTTAACTCCTAAACTTAAAGCCACTGTATGTGTGAATTAATAAATTATGAAGAGAAGTTACAGAGTTACAAAAGCAAGCCTCTAAAAATGTCTAACGACATCATTTCACTTATAACGGATATGGCATATACATCAATGTCACCTGTAATGGACTGAGAATGCCAGTTATGATTATTGTACAAATTTATCATATTACTAATACCTACGCAATATAAAATTTTAAAAAAAATTTAGTATCCTTGGTTGATTAAAATATTTCAAAGTGATACTTTATGTACATAATTTCAGTATATGTATATAATTTTTGTACAAATGCAGCTCACTTATGAGGCTAAACGTTTCGCAATAAGAAAATGTGCAATTATGTTGATTAGAAACAATAATGACAAAATCATTTCTCTGTATATACATGTTTTGTAGTCGTTATTAATTCTGTTTTAGAACAAAACAGAAAATAAAGGATAATATATGAGAACAAACGTAAGGGAAAGAACAATTCCTTGTATTTTGGTACAGGTAATTATAAAAAAAAAAACTGGGCAAAGTGCAGGAATTTTATATAATTATGTGACATAAAATAGTCTATAAACCAGCTGTAAATTTATGAAATGTCTAATACTACACTAACTTCAATTTTGTATTTATTTACTATCCCTTCCTTACATGCTACATGTCCAACCAATGTCATCCTCCTGTCACTCGATCACCTTAGGTTCCTCACAAACCCATTTTCGAGCACGGTTAAATTATATTCGTGTATATTTCAATCTTATGTTTTAAATAGCAAGAACATTAAATAATACTGTATCATATCCCCTGTGTCCCTGGATCCTCAGTCCACACACTGCACTGCAAATATGGAATTTTAACTGACAGTGGCAGCTTTGTAGATGCATTTAAATGACTCCTGAAGCTATTTTTACCAAACATGGAATTTCCAATCTGCAAAATCGATATTTTTTTTTGGCATATTTTCAACAGGTCATCAGGTAATTTATCCTTGAAGGACCTCAAGTCATTTTAAAAATCACAAGGAAAAATAAATGGCACATTTCCCTTTAAAGATTAATTAAGGACAGGATCAGAACCAAATATCAATGATTTGCAAAACAACTTTATTACAATTAACCAGACATGTTTGAAGGCCTCAAGTGGGGAAAATAAAATAAAATAAAGCATACTGAAACTCACCAATTTAAAGTAACAGTGTCTATTCAACAGAAATCAAGGTTGCAAGTCTTAGAAATGGAGCCATAATTCTGCTTGAAAACAGACCAATCGCAAAGACCCCATTTATCATCTTTACAGCCTTTAAGTTTTAGCAACTTTTCCTGCAGGTGGAACTGAACTCGGAAGGGTTCGCCTTCGTCGCATCTGTAAGCAAATGATGTTCAGTTAGTGAAATTTCAGATTTTCATGTTGGTCAGTATGATGGCTGTCTTCTGGAATGCCTTCATGTAGTCTGGTAGAAAATTACCATCACTTCAGATGTACTTACTGCTTACAAACTGATGATTGAGGCAGTAAGTACTCTTGAAATGTTGGCCAATTCCTATCAGACTACAGATTAATTTTGTTCATATAAATTATGAAGCATCTCATGCAATTTTTCTCCAGCCTCCTGTAACGCGATCCTTTCTTCGTCAAAGCATTCCCATCAGTACCCTCATCTCAAACACCTTCAGTCTGTATCCTTCCTTTACTATTTCTGTTATACATGAAGAGTTCCAAGATTTGTTCTTTAATAATATAAGACATTCTCACACTTACTTAAAGAAAATGGCCACAAAGTTGCTCGCAAAGGGCGTCAACAGGGATGTTCTCCAATTTCTATTTCCCATTGATGCATAGTTTGAGTGAGTGAGGGGTCTTTCATCCTCTCCGATGCCAAGAGAGGTGAAAAACAACTGCATATCTGTGTCGTGACTGAAGTAAAAGACTCCGGCAGGCTGTTTTTCCCAATTCTCCAGTTTTCTACAACAAAGTGTCGTCAATGTCAATGTTGTTACTCAACGTGTATTTGGAGGGGCAGACTGTTCAGAAGTTCCTGTGAATACCAACATCCAGTGTAGTGTTGCTTGATATGCTTTTGTAAAATACTCTACTTCAGTTTTCTAAACCGTTTTGATTAAATGAATTAATTTCCTTGACGCCACTGATGATGACCTCTTGAGGTTGAAACGCGTATGGCACTAGTGTCTTTTTTATAGTGTTAATAGTTTGTCAGTTTGCTTATTTTATATTCTAATACACTACACGGTATGCAAAGTTTTATGAATATATACACTTTGGCAATTATATATTTTTTTATTTAGTGTTCTGTCTGAGGACAGGTCCATATGAACAGGATCCTTCCATCCTTTTCTCGGACTGGGACCTGTTCATATACGTTCTTGGCAGATGATCCAGAAGTGGTTTGCCATTGCCTTCTTCTGTGTGTGAATGGAGTAATTGTTGGGATGCCACGGAGGAAAACTCCGTGTTGCCTAGACCACGGCCTTGCCCAACACAAGTTATAAATTCGGGCACCGCCGGGAATCGAACCCGAGACCCCAGGATTACAAGGCCAGCGTTCTAACCGCTAGACCACCACTTCCACTACGGTGAGCTGTTTTGTGACAAACCCTCCCCCATTATTCTTTGATACGCTGGTATGTGCTTACTGAACATGTACCTGGTCATTAAAATTTACACCTGTAAGTACAAGGGATGAAATATATAAAGAACAGTGATGCAGTATCCTTAGTTGATTTTATGTACCAAGCTCATACCTGAAACGATCAATGAAATCTTTTGCTAGAGGGCAACCAACTAGCTTGTTCATTTCGGTGCCAAAACCGCGTTTGTAGTAAGAGTCCAAGTCTTCTTTGTACTCCAAAACCTATGAAATTGATAAAATGTGTTCAGCTTAATTTCTGGGGTCGGAAAGTATAAACAATAAAAGGATGTTACTCTTTCTACAATTATTTGTTTACCCTTTCAATGTTATGAAATTGCAAGTCTATAAATAAAAATATTCTGCCAAGCACGCAGAGTACTGTAATATCAAACTTGTTTAAAGAAATCCCATGACCAAAAGGTTCTATCTTAGTAATTATCCCCTTTAAATGTCCTACAAATTCACACACACCCACATTCCCTGTCTTTCAGGAATGTAATGATAATTGGATTAATATTGGCTAACATGCAGAATAATTACTTGTATTCACAAGCAGTGAAAGACGCGATAGATCAAGAGTGTTCAGACACACCTTCAAGTCATCCTCGGAGAAGGCAGCGCACCATGGCGAGATATTATAAACATTCCATGCCTTTTCAAATCGACAAATAGTGTAAATCAGGTCCAGATTATCTGAAGATAAAAACATTCTGTCACCACATTTACCTCCCATGTCACTAGCACAGTGAATGATTCATGATTCAGATCTGCTTGCATCATCACACGGTCTACAAATTCTCAAGACATATATTAAAAACAATCACTAGATTTGCTTGCATCATCACACGGTCTACAAACTCTCAAGACATATATTAAAAACAATCACATTTGTGTGATGCGTTTTAAGATTTCAAAGGACCCGTCTAGCTTTCTGGCTTAAGAAGAGAGACAATTACTCGATAATTTACTCCTTAAAATTTTAGATTAATATATTTTGACAAACAACATCCATTTAATTTGAATTTTGGAACATCTGAATTCAATCCATCATTAGATTAGAACAGGATTTTTCAAATGTTAGGCCAAGATTGACAAAGGATTCCTCCTGAGGTCTATTTATGCCAGCAGGTGACAGAACAAAACACGACAATGCCGGCTGACAGGCACAGAATTCTCCCATCTCCAGACTGGCTTTGGGGTCCTATCCAATTCATGCCAAGAGGCTGGCTACACACCTCCATTTAGTGCCAGGATTAATTAAGAAAGCATGAATTTTTACCTCTACTCTATCATATCCTTTATGGCTGGTGCTTAATTAAGCATAAAAATCTTCAAATGAGAAAACACCAGGAGCATTTCTCATTTTAACCTTAAATTTAATGACCGACTGAATTACTGGACCGAGTCCCACAATTGGACAAGAGCACTGAAACAGGCAAATGCGTCTCTACCTTGATGTTGGAAAAAAAGCTTGAAAAGTGTTCCGTACCAGGATACACATAACATCCTCATGCGTTCTCTACAACAGTGGTATTCAAACATGGGTACGCGAAGACATCTTAGGGGGTACGTGAAATTTAAAAAAAATATATTATTTTATTTTATGATAAACACTGAATAATCAGTAATGTAATTTATTTAATTTATTTTAGGTGTAGATTATATACTACGTATAACTTGTTTGATAGTTCCCACTTTGGCCACCAGATGACAGCACCTCAAAGTCCACTGCACAACTCTCCTCACTTGTCATTTTGTTACCAGTAAATATGTATGTAAATATGTCCAGATGGACATCACCAACCCAATATCCGTTCTCACTACACACGAATACATGCATGACGAAGAATATCAGGAGAAGAATTCAGAGCATGTAATTCAAAATTACGCAGTTTTCTCTCTTTCCCCCTGTAATTTTACCTCTCTTATATCCAAGTAACACATACGTACCAAAACCAATTGAGCTTCCGAATCCTAACCTCTTAGAGACAATTCGTGTGACTTCTTCTATCTCAGGGCCCTTCTTGAATGCATTGTACTCCTTTTTTATGTCCGGATTGTCATGCACTTCATTGATCCACGCAGTGCAGTAGTCCGACGGCTGCAGCAGTAATTCAACAAGTGTACCAACACAATCTTGTTCAATCATCCACATACTAGCATAACAATAAATTTGAGTTCCAGTAACGGTGGCTGCATAATGTGGGCTGTGAACCTTGATCACGGGTGTGAATCCTGCTTGTTATGGGCTGATCACCCATCCAAAGAGTCCTACTAAATGTCTACAATGATTCATAGTTTCATATGCACTGGAATTGGAACAGGTCAGAGGGCCTAATCTTTAACGGCTGACGATAATGATCAGCTGGTTCAATTAAGAATGTCTGAAACATTCGTCTTACAACTTTCTTTAATTTTCCCCAGTTCTTCATGACGTAAAGGACTTTATTTCTAAGCTGAGAAGACTCGGTACTCAGATATAATTTTAAGATGTCTTTGGCAATCAGCGATGTAAGCAAAGAGTTGAAGTCCATTCTTACATCGTCTATCACCCGAGAAGACTTTACTGCGCTCAATACTCATACATTTACAAATATGGTTCTGCTATCTGGAAGATGTGCAAAATATAGTAACGCTTGTTTGGTTCACATTTTAAATAAAAATCAGAAAAAAAATATTTTGGGGTTGCAATATCTGTAATTAAAGTACAGAATAGGGAAGACTGGGCATCGATCGCAAGAGAAGCCAAGGCTACACTGAAAGGGCCGTAGCGCTAAAGAAAAAGAATAATATTTGTAATTGTTATATGAATATGTTAATATGTCTTAACTCTAAAATCTTGTTTTAAAAAATATATTTTATATCCTTACCTTAAGAAGTGGATCAGGAGATATAGGCTGAGGTAACTGTACATCAACAGTGCTGCCAAATATCCCATCAATAAATGCAAATGCAGTAAGTGTAGTTCGCTGCGATTCGGTAAATTTGACCTAAACCAGAACAATATTTCTGTGAATACTATACAGGCCTTTTATAAATAGGTTAAAGAAAATAAAAAAGATGACGTACAAATTTTTCTCCAGTGGAACCAGCAATTGTATTTTGGTGGTCTGAACATTTTATCGTTCTGCCACCACGTTTTCACAAATTTTTATACAAATGTTGAGCAGCAATAAAGCTCAATGCCGTAGTGAATTTTACAATGTGACATAACTTCAAATTTGTGCACTAACCTCAAACTTGTCAGGATCGTACGACTGATTCAATAACGATGGGAACTTAGACTTGTAGCGTAGTGCTAAATTATAGGCATCTTTATAGCCCTGAGGAGTCAAATTCATTGACACGGTTGAGACGGCTTGTGGCGTCCACTTCTTGAGATTGTCCACATCCTCAGCACATAATGCCCCCCCTGGGGATTTTGCAACAAACAAATTTCAACATATGTTTTTACACAAACATAAAAATCCAGTACAAGTTCATAAATAATATTCGCATAATACCTGTCAGAACAAATAATTCACGTAGCACACAAATGCTTTCTACAGATGATTTCATAAAAATATTTCCCATGGAGAAATCTTTCTTGAAGGCTTCTGGTAATTTCATGTAGAGATATTCATTAAATTCATTATCACACACTTTTCATTTTAAACTAATAGCTTCTTGTGCACTTGAACTACGAAGTATTATCAAAAGAACTACCACAACCAAGTCTGGTTGGTTTAAAGTGTTGAAGACCTACGACCACTCACAATGTGTTTAAAAGAAAGGCTCTAAAATACGTACGTAACATCTACTCTAACTTCATTTATTTATTTTTGGATCCAAAGGCACATTCATTCGATCGGGATTTGATTTAGTATGTCGTAATAAACATTCACATAAATTCATTAAATATAAGACAAAGAAATGTATACTGTGGCCCTGGGAGTAATAATAATTCTCTTTTGGACTATTACTATATCACATGTGCATGAACAAAATGAAAATGCATTTAAGAATGACCACGTTCCTCTTAAACTTATATAAATCTAGCTCAATGTATGGCACTTATAGAAGAAAACAATTCTGCTTAAAACTGTTTGGCCAACTCCGAGAATGTCAGACGAACCTCCATTTGTTCTTTGAGAAACAATGTTATAGTGGTACTTACATCCATTTTTATAATTATTGATTATTTGATCTCGGAAATCAATAAGTGACCACATGTCATTAATGCCATCTACATCTGTGTATCTTGTTCCATGGCGAGATAAAATCCAGAATTGTATCGGCTTGCATTCTGTAAGAAACAAATACTAAATCAAATCATAAATTTAGTGTCTTACAGTGGTGATCTGATTGGATTGAATTTTTACCTGCAGAGGTTATGTAATATTAAATGAGACAGAAATATATAACAGCAAGAGTAGGCAGGTATTTGGAACAAGATTGCTGTGGTATTTTCAAGGTACTTCCACTGTAGGTCCCTGGAAAGACTTAGGATGAACACAAAAATTATCAGTCAGGAAATATGGTTAACAAAGTCAAGATTCACATCATGGTCCTGTTCAGTCACTTCCACACTAGTTTGCTCAGTGTGACCTGCATTATTGTAGACAATATTACAACATATGTTTTCAGAAAACAATACTAAAGTAAGGAAAAATTAAAGCTTCTCCCACTACAAGCCACAAAGGCGCTTGGAGGGAGAGCAGTAGAGCTCCTACTCATTCTTAACCCCGGTGCTAGATAGGGGTGGGTGGTCAGCGACTCTTCTCAGCCACGCTTTACCCCGAGGAAAGCAATCTGGTACCCACTGGATAGGAGGCTGGAGCTAGAGCTGGTCCAGACGCAAAGGCTAGAGGAAAAAATCCTCTGCCACTATAGGATATCGAACCCCAATCGTCCAGCCCATAGTCAGTCAGTATTACTAATATTATATAGCATTTTCTTGAATTTTTTTATAGTGACATCTAAAGTACTGAGAGATAGAACAAAAAATAAGTATAGTGCTCATGTTTATGAACTAACTCACTATCAGACCCTTAGGACACGACACATGATTTAATAAATACTAATAAAATTCTTTATAAATCTCAAAGATCTAGTTTACATAATACTGTTTCAACATTAAGCATGAAACAAATATCATATTTGCAAAAAAAAAAAAAACCCATCAGACTGTCCAACTTTTTCAAAACATAATATAATTTCAACAGTTTGAAGAACAATACTCACTAGGAATGCTGACTGGATCATCCGAATTCTCATGCACAAGTTCATACGGAGTGTACGTGGAGAACATCACATACGGATTTTTATTTTCGGCTAAACACGTATCATAGTGACCGGCCACCAGAGAGACCAATATGGTGGCCAACAAAATAGATAGCAGCATTCTGCGAGTACTCCTATACAGGTGAATGAAAAGTATAACATCCCACAAAAAGAAAATATAAGCTCTTTTATAAGTCAGTAAAGTGATCTATATATAAATTAACATAAATACAAAATGCAATAATGGTAATACACAAAACCAAACTCATCAAAAAAGGTCACAATATAACAATTTCTACTAAGATACTAAAAATTTGACAGTGGAACCACAGTTCCGGAGAATCTGACGTAAATACGTCTCTGTAATGTAATGCAATGTAATAGTTCTTATATAAGATAAGTACCTGTGATATTCTAAAATGTTTTTACCAGCACAAAATTATCTAGTCTACGACACACTTCTTCTACAAGCGAATCACAGCTCAGCTCTTTCCGCAATAACGAAAGCGAATTGTTGACGGCAGTAATGTAACACAACAATGCCGAGTAAACAGACGACGTAACAATTAGTTTCTTAGGTAACATAACAGTGCACGCAGGAGTTCATATAAAAGCTGACCACTGTCGGTCCATATTTACACATTGTTGATATGGACCTTACACATCTTCGTTACGCTTTTTTGCTGAATGACCTTTCTGTATAGACGTATTTATGTCAAAAATGTTTAAAAGCCAATTACCTGTGAACAGCAATAATAAACAGGAGAAAATGTTGCACAAATTATGGTTACATATTGTGCAATTTCCTCAGCTTTCCAATCTGTTATCTCTCTTTGTTCAAAGTACACTCTATCACTTTAAAATAATTAAAACTTAAGTTCAGTCCTCAGAGTTGAGATGCTGTGTTTCCAAAAATGTCATGTGACTTATCGTGAAGTGTTTCTCTAAGCATATGAGACAGGGTACTTTGTTCTGAACCAGACAATGACAATAACAATTACATTTTGTTTCTAAATATGCCAAAATGCAGGTAAATGTTATCGGGGTGATAAAATGAAAGATGGTCATGTACAGGAGAGAAATTTTGTCAGAAATCTGAAGGGAAGAGGCCACTTGGAAGTCGTAGGCATAGATAGGAGGGCAACTTTAAAATGTACATTAAAGAAACAGGGTGCAGTGTTGTGGACTATCTTGATAACAAAATCTCAGGTTCCATAAAAGGAAGGAGATTTATTCTTTAGCTGAGCAACTATTTGCTTCCCAAGAAGGAATTTGCTCCATAAATTTGTGGTTTCCTTAAGAGAATTTATAAAGAACTGAAATCCCTCAAAAATGTGTTATTGTTCTAGAATAAAGTTTCAAATTTCTTATTTTGTTTTTAAAGCCCTTAGAATTTTCTAAATATATTTATGAAGATATTGACAGGAAAGATCAGGTAGGAAGCTGCTTCCCGTATAAATAAGTCTGCGATTACTAAAACAAACAAACTGTGTACTATTTGAAATTAACATTCTGAATAAACACAAACACCTTAGACAACTTACATTATGTTTCTTGTCTCCCTTTTTCACAGTGGCATCTGCTATTTTGGGATATTACGAAAACACTTACCCAATTCACCAGCACGTGCAAACTGGAGGTTAAGTTTAGTTTAGGCTCAGTTTATATACCAGCATGTCATTAGAGTCTATTTATCAGAAAAGAAAAGCTTAATTAAATATGTATAGCTAAAAACAAATAATGAAAATTATTATATACATTCTGAAGTAAATAGAACACACATGCCATTTGTCTACAACAGCAATTATTCAGCTGTCTATTCTGCATAAATGATTACATTAGTGTTATGTAAGTACAGTCATTGAACACAGCTGTGGAAGATAATTCATTTTTAACAACAACAACAACAAACCAGAAATTATTAGCAAATATCCAACACTTATGGTATAAATACGTTCACCATCGTTTTCGGTATCATTAAGTAGGGTAGGCACGATACACTTCTCATCGCATGCAAACATGAAACATTAAAATAATCATTATAGATATTAAATACAGTTTTACCTTCATATTCCATATACATTTTATTTCAGTCAGCAGATCCTTGTACTTTAATATATTTTCCACTTATTTTTCAAATTATAAATAATTACACAGACTTTAAAAAATCACTTTTATTTAAAATATAATCATTCGAAGTGCTGCAGAGACAGACAGGTGCGCATTAGGCAGGTTTACAGAAACTCAGAAATATTTTCAAATGTGCCCAAAAATTGTATTCCTATCTCCAAGAAAATATAGCACCAATAAGTTAAATAAAATTAATTAGGTTAGGAAAATGAACTCTGTTTATTTTGAGAAGCAAACAAAAGGAATCGACACATATATTTTGTGAAGAATCAAATTATCGCTCGTAGGATTGTAACAAAATAACATTTATGATTTTTTAGTTTGGAAAATTGTCTTACCATTTATAATTTAAGAATGAATTTTACCAGAAGTCACTAATTTTGGACATGGTGCTGTTATCATCCCAAGAATACAACGAAGGCAGGAACAATTTCGTCTTTGTAATTTTAACAGAAACTCAGGTCGCAATTCTGAGAAATGGATTCATACTTTTGCTTGATAACAGACCAGTCACACAGGCCCCACGGAGAACTTTCACAACCATCAAGTAACAGCAGTCTTTCTTGGAGATAGAACTGGATTCCAAAGTGCCCATCGTCACATCTGTAAGAAGACGACACTACGCTCATCCTCCCAAAACCCATCGAGGCATTTTCAGTATAACTACTATGAAATAAGGCTACAAGAAATGAAGGAGAGATTTTTAACTATTTACCACTATTTTCTCATAGTAAGTAATAATTCTTCAAATTTTCATGAAATTTTTCACTTCCTGCTCAGGACAGTTCCTTAATTTTACGGAACTTCACGGTACAGTACCTACCATGTTCTAAATTGCCTGCAATTAGTACCTATCCTCAGCTACTTGAATCCAGTCAACCATCTCCACATCCCATTTATATAAGATCCATTTTAATATTATACTACCATCCAATGGCATAACATCCTACCAATTGAAACTTTTGCAGCTGTTTTCCACAACAAAGTTGTCCCATTAAAGTTTAATCTTTTTACCAACATACAAAAATTTCATCATCAAGTGGAATTTGTATCGGTTTCACCTGAAAACTTCATACAGCCCCTCGTCAGAATTGCGATTCAGAGGGATAATGTGAAGTCGGCAATCTTCACAATATCGTAGCCTTCTATAAATTGAATTACAACGCCCAATTTATACCACTGTTCTAACATCTCTCTCATTAGCTCAGGCCACATGATGTCAAATTATGGGGTGATTAGTGAATAATGAATTTGAAAAGACTTGGAAAGAAGTGGTCATGGCCAAATTAAAGATACTATCCCATGCTCGGAGTGACTGATGAAAAACCACAGTCACAATAGCCAACCTTTTTGCTTATATTTTAACCTGTGATGTCCTGAAGAAACACGCATTGCAGGTATAGAAACACCATTATCAGACAGACTAGCATGGTGTTTCGGGGGGGTGTTAAATCTGCTCTGCTTAATAAATTCCACCAGTTCTCCATATTTTTCTTGTTAGTCATCAAATTACAGGATGAGTAGAGTCTAGACTACAATCTGTACTACGTGTTTATAAAAACAGGGTTTTAATATTCACTGACGAAGACTTTCCATACTCACTTGAAGAAAATAGCTGCAAAGTTGGCCGCAAAGGGCGTAAGCAAGGATGTTCTCCATTTTCTATTTCCCATTGATGCATAGTTGGAGTGAGTGAGAGCTTCCAAATCCTTTCCAACTCCAAGAGAGGTGAAAAACAACTGCATATCTGTGTCGTGACTGAAGTAAAATACTCCGGCAGGCTGGTCTTCTCCATTCTCCAGTTTGCTACAACACAAGCTTATCAACGCTACTACTACTACTGGAGATGGCTGCCTTCCGGGTTCTTGCACCATGTAATCTGGTAAATTTTACAGATATTTCAGAGGTGCTTCCATCGTCATGGCGATGAGTGACACATCACAATAACCCAGAAGACACTCATCTTCATATTCCTGCTACGATTACTCGAAATCTCACCAAACACTGCTACTGCTTTCTTCACGGCCTGCTCGTACTTTTCTTAAGGAAGGTTCACACATCTTTATGAGATGTGAACTTCGTCTATGGAATTCAATATAAATGTGAGAGTGAAAGTATCTTGCGCACATTATTACATTTCTGTAAATGTATCACAGTACCCATAAAATTCAATAAATATGTAAAATTCGTAAATTCAGCTTTCATAACTACTGTCTAAAATTATTTATTATTTAGAAAACATTTTATGAAAAGCACGTAACATAATTTCCTGTCAGAGCAGATCAACAAAAAGACAGTTTAATTAAAATTTATGCACACGAGACTACTAATTAAGACCTGGAATGTAATTCAAGACTCACCTAAAAAATCTCTAATAATTAATCTGTTTTAATTAAGATGATACCGACAGAAAAATATTCTGCTGTCAGATCTGGAGGAACGGAAAAGAATATGTTGCCTGGAAATCAGTCTAATCTTCCTGTTTCTCCATGAAGAAGTATACAATAACAGAAGCATAACAGATAATGAAGAAAGACACTTCTGTCAGACATATTTATCCTGAAGTCTCACAATAACAAACAACATGAATAACTACAAAATACCTTCCAATCAGTTTATCTGTTTTACTGCCACTGAAATTATCTAGCCAACGAGGCTGGTTCTGCTACGATAGCCATGATTATGCTTAGGTGTTAGTTGTCTATTAAATGTAATTCACAAATACATTAAGACGTGGTACCAAAATATATTTGTATAGTCTGTAGCGCTAAGCTTGGCACTATGAGGTTCAAACCCTAAGATCATACCTGAATCGATCAAGAAAATCTTTCACTGGGGGACAGCCAACATCCTGGTTCAAAGCACTGCCATAACTATGTCTGTAATAAGCTGAGAGGTCTTCTTTGTATTCCAGCACCTATAACATTATTGATGTAAGTGGCCTTCAAACTGTGGTCAGACTTAAGCCTCTCAGCCATTAGTCTATTTACAAGGCGATAAGTGTCAGTCGTTTTTAGCGAACAGGGGGCACAGTGTGTAGGCGACTGACTTCACCCCCCATTTTACAAACATTCATGCCTTGAGCGGGACTCGAAACCACCGTCGTAGCAGCCAGGCGCGCGAGGTCCATGCCTCAGACTGTGTGACTACTGCGGCCAGCACAAATGCCAATGCTGAACTGTTCTCATTTTTTAAAAAAATACTTCTCAATTGTGAGTTACTGTTTATTCACAAATATATTAAGATTCAACCTTGTAAATTCTAAATTAACGATGAAACTTTGAGATGTTAGTGACAATAATGTATTATCATACAGAACTTCATGTTCCACATTGTATCTGATGTAATGCAATATAAATCACGTTTCAAACTAGCACGAACAAAAATTAGTGTGCTGGATAATAATTATACATTCTAAGGGCACACACACGCACATTTTTAAACATATAAATAATGGCTAAGATAGCCAAATAACATTTGTTCACCAACAGCAAGAAAGTTAACAGAACAAGTTATTAAGACTCACCTTCATCTCATCCTCAGAGAAGGCAGCACACCACGGCGAGACACTGTCCACATGCCACGCCTTTTCAAATCGACAAATAGCGTACATCTTACTCAAGTTGTCTGAAAATTAAGAATATACTTCATAATTGCAGTGGTGCCATGATGTTGGAGGCAGCTAGGACCTATGAAACGTAGGTAAACTTCTACCAGACTACACGGCGCTACGACCCAGAAGATAGCCATCTTCGTACTCACTGCCATAAAAACCTAAAATCCTACATTGACATATAATGTTCTTAATTAAAATATGTTCTCCTTTACCCAGTCCCATGCCCAAACAACATATACATACCATAACTAATTGACCTGGTAAATCCTAATCTGTTGGAGACAGACTGTATGATTGCCGCAACCTCTGGACCTTTCTTGAAAGCAATGTACTCCTGCAATGTGGCTGGATTATTGTCCACTTCACTTTTCCATGCATCACAATAGTGAGAAGGCTGTGACAATAAGTAACAAACTGTACTCACATAATTTTTCAATCCACTGGAAATATATGTGACAATATTCTTCAGGGAGTATTATAATAACGCAGAGGGAGGGACGTTTCATGATTTCATATTCATCTCCCCTAAAATTGACTGAAAACATGATCAAAATAAAAATTTATTTTCTGGCATAATTTTCTCGCAAAGAACTGGCGATAAAGGAGATTACTATATATGTCAATAACATAACTGATATGCAAATCTATGTAATGAAATTGAGTATTTCTGAATATATTTTTAAAAACATCAGCCAAAAATTAAATCCTAGATCTGTTACTCATTCAAGTTGTATGTTTTGCCTAACCTGTATCATACAGGGAAAGGTGATTTGACCCCAGTACTATGGAGCTGCTGGCCAGACTTCAACTTCAGGGTCAACAGTTAAGCAATGTGTCAGTGCATGCACAATCAACAATAAACAGTTGATAAAGGTTAATAAATTATAACATAGAACAATAAATACCCCCCCGCTGAATTTTACAATCTACACAGCAGATCGCAAACAAGGAAATAAAATTCTCCTGCATATGATTCTGCGTACCTTACGCCAACATTGAAAATTTAAATAATGTCTTTATGATCTTGAAGTAATGAAAATGTTAAATAAATTAAAGGAGCTGAAACTTACATATGTTAACACATGTATAACTGAAGTTTCATTTACCAGATATCAACAAAATTTTACCAAGAACTCAGGAGATAAACATAAAAGTTGATTCTGGCTCTTGAAGTGGCCAAACTCTACCAAAACAGCTTGACAAATTTAATGTAGATCTACCACACAGAATTTAATCCAAAGTGGTATTTATTAAGAAAAGAGGCGCTGATGACTATTAAATATGTGCACCTTCAACAACAAATCATACAAAATGTCAGGTTGGATCTGGACAAATCTGCATCTAATGTCAGATCAATAAATCTCACAAATTTTTGTGTTAAAAAAATATCGACTTCATATTCTTACCCTAAGAAGCGGATCACCAGGTATAGGTTTAGGTAATACCACATCTACAGTACTGCCAAATATTCCATCAACAAATGCAAGTGCTGTGAGAGTAGTTCGTTGCGAGTTTGTATAGCGGATCTGAAACGGAAAGTCCCTGCTAATATATTTCAGCGAACTCCGACTGCAAGGAACAACTACAGTGCTGTTGCGACGTGGCACTGAGCACAAGGATTTAAACTGTGAGACACAAAGGAAAAGTTCTAGTAAGAATTACGGTCCCAAATTTTGAATATTAAATAACCAGAATACAAGTTAAAATTTTACAGCTTAGTGATGTATTCCTGTACATAATATCCACCGGAATGTTTACAAATCCTGAAAGCAGCGATACAAAATGCAAAAATTTCAACGCACACAAAAGACATGAATAAAATGTGTATATATATGAAATATATCTGCCTACTGACAGTTATTCATCAGCCATCTATCTGAAATTAAAGAATAAATTTAAATTTTGCACCAAACTATACACTTTTTAATTTAAAAATTATCTAAGCCTCAGTATGAATTTAGGTTTCACAATTTCATGTCAAAATTTCTTCCTAATTACTCAGCTATTTCATATATGAGTGTCATATTTACTTTGAGCTGAACTATTTTCAGTGCACTAACCTCAAATTTTTCAGGGCTGTACGACTGGTTGAGCAATGCTGGGAATCTAGACTTGAAACGTCGTGCCACATTGTACGAGTCTTTATAACCCTGCGGTGCCAGATTCATTGATAAAGTTAAGACAGCTTGTGGTGTCCACTTCTTGAGATTGTCCACATCTTGGGCACACAATGTACCTCCTATTTTATTGAACAAAAAAAAAGTTAAACATTTTTTAAACTTGCATAACACGTAATTTTGGTATAAATTATACTCTGTGATCATATACCCATCTGCAGAGTAAAGAAAGTAAATGTATTTATACCATTAATCTCCTTAGAACTTGGAAAGTACTGGGTTCAAAAATAATTTCTTCCACGTTCCTCCTGCTTCATCATCATCATCCTAAAATACCCATTAATGAGTTCATAACCTCAATAGTTGACAAGCTGTTACAAAATAATATATTCAAGAGGAATATTTTTCACACAATTGTCTTTTAAAAAACTCCTGATATTATATATCAGCAATGTATTTGATACACTGTATTCATTATCACAAACTGCTTTGCTTGAAACCAATTGTTTTTTAAGCATTCAATCCCCAAACCAAACCTAACCTAACCTAACCTAACCAACACCAAAGCTGACATCAGGAATGAATGAATTTTATGATCAACAATGCAATCAAAAGCAACGAAAATATCACAGGACAATTCACTTTCTTTTAGAAGCAAAACAATTTAAAAATTCCACCTTTTAACATAAACTGATCAATTAACTTCAAAAGAACACGTAATTACGAGTTTTTATTATAGGTATTTTACCGTGTAGCATTGAATATATACAGGTGACAGACAATTTATCACATAGTTAAATCTCTTCCATGTAACAGTTTTCTCAATTTAATGTTTAAATCCACTGATCTCCAAGGAACTAAAATACACGTTTCAGTGTAAATGATACGTGATAATAATTATATGCAGCAAAGATAAACATATCACACAAAAAGAAAAAATACATATATAAACGTGGCTTCAAGCTAAATTTTATAGAGCGAAAAAGAAACTGTAGCATAGGCACACCAAAAATAATTTCTGTTGCAGAAATATTAAATATTCTGAAAAGAAAACATCAAGTACAAATATTTGCTATGTTTATTTGTTTCAACGTAATATACTTGCATTCCATGCTCGGAGCCTACAATTCATTTCACAGAATTTGTAAGTTACAAGCTACGCAGCGTTCTCTTAAAGTAAAATACAAGTAGTTATATTGGACATGCCGTCACAGTGGCCGCGCGGTCTGAGGCGTGTCGCTTGGTCACTGGGACCGTGGGTTCGAATCCCACTCAAACCATGGATGTTTGTTCGCGTTTTTCTGTGTTGTGCTGTCATGTGTACAGGTAGAGGCCTTGCGACAGGCCGATCCCTCACCCAAGGACGCCTACCTAATCTCTATAGATCGAGCCAACGAAAAGTTGGGACCCGCACTGAATAATGGGTCATCTAAGCATCCTAAATATATTGGACATGCATCCTCTGGGTCAAACAGATATGGCCTATGTACAAAAGGGTGATCTATTTTCATTATATTCGAATGTTGCTAACTTTTAATGGTGTATGGCCATATTTCACATAATGTTTGTTACTTACGTCCATTCTTGCTATTAGTAATGATGTGATCTCGTAAAGAGATGAGAGACCACATGTTATTAATACCAGCTGCATCTGTGTATCTTGTTCCATGGCGAGATAAAATCCAGAACTGAACAGGCCGACATTCTGTACGAAATAAATAATGTTTCTATTTAAAAAACGTTTTGCAAGACCAAAAGTTTCAAAATCCTGTACTTTCTTATAAGTGTCATAACTTTCATTCGCATAATATAGGAGAATAGCAAATTACGATTATTTCAGCGGTACGTTATCAGACTTCCCAAGCTTCAACGGCCTCGACTGACTCAGGATAACGTTTTGCAAGATCAAAAGTTTCAAAATCCTGTACTCTCTTATAAGTGCCATAACTTTAATTCGCATAATATAGGATAATAGCAAATTACGATTATTTCAGCGGTAAGTTATCAGACTTCCCTGCCTTCAATGGCCTCGACTGACTCAGGATAACGTCGGAGGACATGGATTCCTAATCGAAAGTTGTTCTCTCTGAGTTCCTCTATAAGATCCAACAGTTTGGCCCTAACCTTTTGAATCACCCTGTATATATACAGGGTGATTCCAGGGACGCTCTGTATATATACAGGGTGATTCCAGGGGTTTTAGTAAGAAAGGTTTAAAAACGCAAGTCTGCTGGATATCAGAAAACTTAAATGCTTTGAAATACCTTTTGCAACCTGAAAAAAAAATTGTAAAACGAGTACTCACGAGGAATGTGCACTGGGTCGTCTGTATTCTCATGTACAAACTCATAAGGTGTGTAGGTGGAGAACAGCACATATGGGTTGTAATTTTGTGCAAAACAGGAATCAGCCTTCGCAGTTACCTGACAGCCCACCAAACTGGCCCACAAAATTAGTGGCAACATCCTGCAAGTGTCCCTATAAAAGTGATAGTGCAGACATAAAAGTCAGCTTATAACAAATGAAGTTAGGATATCAAAGGCCTGATCTACACGTTACGAGACGTAACTGAATGAAAAATGTCTTTGAACCAAAGTCAACAGAGACTTAGTAAAACAATAGTGTTCGAAAAAATTTGGTGAAGAACAAGAACAAGTGATTTTTAAAGGAAACCAAAGAATAATTATTTCAGGAAATGATTGTGTCATTGTTTTTTTTTATAACAAGACCCTCAGGTAGAAAATTTGGTGGTTGGCACCCCACGTCTACAAATTACTGACGCTCTAATGATTAGAGATAAATGTTACAGAATTAAATGTTCACTTTACACACAGAGTAAACACAAAGGAACATTACACTTTCAACATGACACAGAAAGCAAATTCAGCATACACAGAACTTCATCCCCACACCAGTCAACAGAAAAACTCTCAAAATGTTGTTTCAAAACAACCCATGTGATTGTTGCTTTTGCACGCCTCCGCTAGATGTCACTAGTTTCGAAAATGGCTACCCCGTAACAGAGATGTTGGAGAGTTGTGCCTCAATCTTTGCCATAATTGAGGCAGCCAATCACAACTGAGATAGCTTCCATCATCAGGTTTACTCTGCTCAAAGTTTGGGACACCATTTGCCGCGTGACTTGCAGAGCGCATATCGAACTTCGGGGTGTACAAAACTCTGACAGTTTTTCTATCGATTAGTGTAAGTGTGAAGTTCTATATACGCTGCATTTGCTTTCTACAACAATGTGAAAGTGTACAGTTGTTTTGTGCTCATCCGGTACGATGAATGCAGTATCTAGCACGTACATTAACTGTAAAGACTTGTTTATGGTCACGCAACATAACCTAAGATTTTAATCACTCTGTATATTGACGTGGCGAAACTGGACCATCCGCAATAGTGAACATGATTGATGCTCTAGGAATGTTAAGGAGATATAATTCTTTTATAACTCGCAATTCATTTTACTAACCGAGTGATTGACAATGTTCAGCTGAGTGAAGTATATGATCCATGTCCTGAGCATTAATTTCATCTTCAGAACTTCGCCACTTTGCGAGTACCTTGGCTGTTGTCTCTTTCCGACAATTTAGTGATTTTATACACACGTTTATCAGCTTTTCTTTCCCAGTTTCGTCTGCTTTACGACGCGAAATTTATGTAAAAATAATGCCTTCCGTCAACATACAAACAAAATTATTTTGCATATGCAGGATTTTCATAATCCGCCCAAACTTTCTGCTCAAGTCAATGTTTCGAAATTCTGGCAACAAAGTTTCTCATTTTTCGCAGATAATTAGCCATATATTTTGCGGAAATCGTTCGTTTCGTAGTACAACAGTTAGACAATTTAATTCCACTCAGATCTTTACCACACAAATACGCGGATGATGAGTCCACTGCCCTGGTAATGGAGGTACTTACTGGTACTTACGCGATACAAAACACACACAGATTTAGAACTTTTAATTATTCAGACTGAGTTATAAACACTAGCATTGTAAGAATAAGACAATTGCAAACTACAAATCTAAATTTCAGATTGAGTGAAAATAATTACTACTTACGATACGTCTAGAAACTGTTCACCACAAGATCAAAACAATGATGAAACACACGAATGGAAACTTCAAAATGTATCAATGCGCGTGGCCCTAGGTTTCCACTGTTAAGAATCTGCAAACATCTTCAAAATGGCTGTCTCCTGGGATGATGCGACGTGTAGTATGGTATAAGTTCTCCTACGTTACAGAGGTGCATGCTGCCTTCATCATCAGGGTCAATTTCTACCACACTAGACGACGTACCATCAAATAAGACAGCCATATTTAATTTTCTATTTACCTTTCTGAAATATAGTGTAATTGCGTCATATTGTGAATATTATATCAATTATTTATTTTAATCCGTCTGATCACAATATTTAAAATTTCTTATAATTGAGATAATAAAATATCACTCATGTTCCGAAATGTAAATCGATCAATCGATATGGAACATGAATGATATTTTATTATCTTAATTATAAGAAAATTTTAAATAAAATTATATTGTGATCAGACGGATTAAAATAAATAATTGTCTGAAATATGTTAATATTTCTGCAGTCCACGAAAGTACTTTGTTTTTCAAGGCAATATGGACACGTGGGTTAACAAATTTAATACTGTACGAAACAATTTAAATTATTATTCGTAGTATTACTTCATTCAGTCAAAATTCTGCATGAAACAAAACATTCACGATATTGTTTAACTATGGTATCAGGACATTTTACAATCAAGTTCTGCAGATCTCCTGCAAAGACTGTACTGTAACATTGTTCATTTCGTGCCAAATTTATTTATTTTAAAAATATCACTCTTTATAAAACATTGAAAACTTGCAAACGTACACAGAATTACCTCACAAACTACCGACAACCGAGATCTCACCTCAAAACCTTTTACGTCAAGTAATTTCAACCTGAACCTCGATCACGTCGAACTCTGCACGACTCACAGACACATCCCTGTTGTCATAACTGCATTCGGACAGCAAATGGCGGACGAAACAGAGGGTGGTATACTGTATCCGGGACCAAACTGTGCGTTTCCCCTACGTCACTAGACTGTGTAAACCAAATACATTATCGATACAGGATATGACTCATGGAGCTACAATGTATCGCCGCTGGGAAATTATGTTTGAAGGATGGACAACATACGCTTCCTTATCTGCTACCCCTCTGACCCCGTCGCCTTTTACTTCAAAAAAGTCCTCAGACGCATAGATTCTACCCCACGGTTGAGCAGAATCCGCATTTAAGAACTCCAAAAAAAAAAATCAATTAGAATGTTCTTTACTTATCACGTCTCGTTGATTCAAGCAAATTAAATGTTGTCCCTACGCGTTGTGGTAGATTTGATAAGGGAATAATCAATACAGAAGACCATACGGAGTTGATAAAAATTCTGTTTTCCACCGAAACTACTCAGAGTAGTCAAAACGTGTCAATATGAAATCTCTACTACGTTCATTTAGGCAGTCTAAACATGTTTCTGGTGTATTTCATGTTCATTCTGACTTATCTCCGTGACTTTCCAGCTATGTTTTAAAATACGCCATTAGGAAGGGATAATAAAAATATGGATGGGAGTGAAGAACACCTAAAAATGGGATTAAATTGGGACTGTACACCCACACAGACTTTGTAGAATTCCAGTGATTCAACTCGCTTTCTCCTTAATTCCTTTCCTGAAATGTAATGTTACTTTAACTTTTTCATCACCCATATTACAGAAACTTCTCATCATCGTCTAAAGCAGTGGTATTCAACCTTTTTTGTTCGCGTACCACCAAATATAATTTATCTTCAACTTTGTACCCCCAAAGTCGTTCGTGTATAATTCAAGTTATACATAGTATATAATCCACATCTAAAATAAATTAAATAAATTACATTACTGATTATTCAGTGTTATCATAAAATAATATATATATTTTTTTTAAATTTCACGTACCCCCTAAGATGTCTTCGCGTACCCCCGGGTGTACGCGTACCCCAGGTTGAATACCACTGGTCTAAGCAGCTTCGGCCCGTTTTCAGGCAACGACCTCCCCTTCCTCGGTCTATAAAGACAGATACTTCTAAAAGCTACCTAATGATAACATCACTTGGGAAATATAACATTTTTCCATCTACTTCTGAGAAATTATGAGCCTCTGTGAGTGCAATCAAACTGAATTCCATATAAAAAATATTAATTAACGTCTATGGAACCCCTCACAGCAATTATAATTATAATTATGATAATGATGGTTGTGATAATAAATTGCCAGTATTACAGGAATACGTAAAACTGGCAGGAAGATATAATCTGTTTCTTCACAGCAGAAGTATTCCATCTATAACATTGAACGGATAAACAAACTAATGAGAAAATTATACAATATTCTACCTCACATTACGTACACGTGAGAGCCGAGTTTCTGTCTAAACAAAACAAACAACCTCACAATAAAATGCATGGGCTTTGTGTACATTGGTCCAGAGCTGGTCCCTCGTCATCAAGACAGATCTCCTCTCCCACCTGCACTAACACGTCTATTTAACACACTAATGCCACTAATGGAAAACTAGAGCACATGTTCTTTCAAGTTCACTCATAGAAGCGAATATTTACATTGCCTAACATCCTTTTCGTATTTTTCTAGAGTTACATAAGCACTCGTCACGTTATATTACAAGGACACAATTTTCAGAGTTGAATAAATGTATAATCACTGAGTTTAATAAGAAGTAACGTTATAACAACATCAGTACAATATTACACTGATATTACGATGCATATTAGTCTGGTAGCTAGAGCTTCAAAACTTTCTATAAATCTTTTTAATTTTAGAACGTAGCAAACAAATTGTATGAAGTTTTTATTATAACTCACCTGTTCTATGAACTATTTAATTTTCGAAGTTGTAGAGTCTGGTAGAAGTTTACCTACGTTTCAGATATCCTTGCTACCTCCATCATCAGGGCGATCGCCCTGATGATGGAGGCATTAATTTTTCATTAGTAAATTCCTTTTTTAATTTTTTTTACAATTTTTAATTTTTTTTAAACGTCATTAATTCGAGTGTTTCGATTATTCATTAAAATTTTGAGAAGTTTGAAAAAAAAATCTGATGTTTTTTTTAGTTTAGGGACTTTTTTTCACAATTTTAAAAAGTTTTGAAAACTGAAAACTCAAGACCTTCACAAGCTGAGCACAAACTCTGTACGTAACTGGCAGATTCCTCACAAAAACATGGCGCCATTTTGAATAACGCATATATGTCGCGGCGTGTCCTTTCTTTTGTTTACTAAACGATCCCTATATTAGGAGCAAAGCTTATACGAATAGATGAACTAACTTGATTAAAAAAAGGTACAATCACTTCTTTGCCTTACAACCAGAGTCAAGACTTTTTTTTGGTCTCTAGTAATGGTCACGAAACACAAATGTCCCGGTCACGACCAAGGTTCAAAAGTCCGATATTCCCCTTTTCGACGGTCCGAACCTTAGACCGCGTATTTGTCTAGCAAACAAGCATATCACTACAAGATTGTGTCTCAGAGTAAAAAAGCACAGAACACATTATGTGAACAGACAAGTTTCAAAATTCTTCCTGTGTGCAGGCCAGCTTAGACTTATCGGGTTATTAAACGATGCTGTTTCAAATGAATAGGTTAAGCTCATGTGTCATTAGTTGGGTCAGATGGTTACAAATTATAAAATGCAAAGTATGAAGAAGGAACTTGTCGAAGGCTGTTTGGTTGTTCTATAAACGATTTCCAGGTGTAACTGGAAAAAAACACGAAAGACTGTCTAAAAAGTCTTACAAACGATTTCCAGGTGTAACTGGGGAAAAACACGAAAGACTGTCTAAAAAGTCTGTGCTGACATTCGAACCCACGGCCTCCCGAATTTGATAGCCAGAAATTTTTTATGTAGCATCAAATGGTTTAGAGATTCTAAAAAAAAAAAATTCTCGAGGAAATATCTCAAATACCGAAATTATTCCGAAAACTTTGCTTCAAATAATGATTAAAATTTTCAAATTAGTCTTAGAATTTATGTACTATTTTAAAACACTTTCAGTATACCTAAAAATTATATATACTTTTCTGAAAAACCTTCCCAGACAACTTCGCGGACCACAGTGTGACAAACACTGATCACGTGCCAGTCACACCTGTGAGGTGTGTACGAATTAATGGTGAGTAATACACAGAATTAACTCGTAACACGAGATACAATTGTCAGTTTGGGCAACTGGTTCCTGTCAGCCAATGAAAAATTGCATCATTAACGTCATTAACTGTTGACATAGCCTGTATATAAAGTAGACGAACATCCTGACAATCATTCCGACTCGAATCCTTGTTTCAGTAAGATCGTTATTGTCTCTGGTAATATTTTAATGCAAGGAAGAATTTAATCGATTTACCTATTGAGTACACGTGCCAAATTAATTGAATTAAATCGAAGTATATTAACTGATTAGTATTAATTGCATAATATATTCGAATAATGTCAACCTTACATTTGCTTTGTTTCTATTTGAACACCAGCAATGACAGACAAGGCTGATAGAGGACTCTGCTTTCATTAGCTCGTTGCAAGATGGCTGTCTTCTAGGTTAGAGCGCCGTGTAGTCTGGCAGAAGGTAGCCATCTTGGAACTCACCGACGCGAGAACCTCGAATTCTAATTAGATGATCGGTTTGCAAATTACTTAACGACCCGAAACAACAGCAGAGAATATTTTGCGTCCAATGGGGCTGAAAGCAAGATGGAAAAGACGAAAAATGCATCGTGTTCGAAAGCGGGAGGTTCAAATGTCGCAGGTCTGGAAATCCTGAATGAGTTCCTTCGTGGTTTTCCTCACCGCTTCCGAATGAATTTTAGAATATAAATTGTAGGTATTCCTCAACTACTTCTGGGCCCCCCCCCCAACACTACATATTAATTTACGCAACTTACACTCAGTTGTTGAATTAAAATAAAATAAACAATAAGTTCCGGGCAGAACTCACAAAACACATTTTTAATCTTACAGATAATTAAACTATAAAATGTAATTCAGTTCATAAGTTTACGTGTTGGGTTAATGAGCAGAGAGTCTCTGGTTTGAACACTACCCAAGTCAGAACTGTCTTACTGATTGAAATTATGTTTTATTATTATTATTATTATTATTCCATCTATTCACCACTTTAAAGGGTATTTTATTCTATGTACCCGAGACAAACTTTGCCCCTGAGGTACAAAGTTCAGCAGCTATTTCCGAAATACATTTTGTTTTTAATACGTGTTACACGTATTATATAGTTTTATTGTGAGAGATTACTAAATATTTTAGGACAGCGTCTTTCGAATGACGTATGAAGATCTCAAAATGACGGTCTTCTGAAGTTCCCTGATGTCGTGTTCGCCCCGGATGTTGGCCAAATATTTATTATTATTATTATCAGCTGCTAATGTCGTCTGCAGGGACGAAAATTGTCACAATTCTTCACATCCTATAATAGCACAATTTACTTAATTGATTTAAATTATTTTTACAAATATCCTGATATATTAGTTGCAATTTTCTTGTGTATTAACGTCCTCCGTATTAATATATTTTATATTCTGCTTGTTTTACCTTTTATATTTTTATTGTGTTCGTGTGTTCATCTCTGTGTTGTATCTGTAATTGGCCATCAGGCTGTTGATACAGCACACAAATAATAAAGAACTGAATTGAACTATTATTATTGTTACTTGGTATTATTTATTTTATTTAGAATTATTAAATTGAATTATATTACTTAGGTATCGTATTTAGCACATTTATTTGTGAAATATGATTCAATAAATGAATCTAATTATTATTATTATTATTATTAATATGGTACATTTATATATTTAGTTCATTTTTTGTTTTACTTTTATTATTATTGAAATAAATAAATTAATTACTTATTATATTTTATCCTGTATTTTAATTTAGTGCTTGGCTGTTATTGGTATTTTTGGCTGTTGTCAAGCACTTATATAAATAAATTGAATTATTATTATTATTATTATTATTATTGGTTTTGTAGTTAGCGTAAGTGTTATTAGGTCTATCTTTCCTTTTCGTAACAAAGGGCAGATTCTTCTGAAATTAAAGTTTCAATCTGCTCCGAAAATGTATTACATATTGAGAGTCCTATATCAACTGACGTCAGTTCGTTCCCAAATCGCAATTTCGAGCGTCCGCCATGTTATCACCGACTGTAAAGTATTAAGTAATAGTTTATCTATGACAGGGCCTGCGTTGGCCTCAGGCGACATCGTCAAACTACTTCAACTATTCAACAGCAGAACGAAAAGACACGTAAACACGTAAAACGGTGACCTCATACCTGACATAAAGTTCGGTTTTTCGGTGTCTCCGCAAAATTAAAAATTTCTTAATATCAAATTGTCTTCCGCATACAAGAAACAGTTCGGATGTTGACAGAATATATTTTTTTATACAAAAAGTCAATAAAAATCTCGAGAAAATAAATTTTTTGAGTAACGTCTAAGAATGTTGCCAACACGCTGGTAAATTCACGGTTGCATCAGAAGAAACCGTCTGTGACATCTTTAAAATTATGCTCGCGTAAGTGGAATTTTGTGTCCAAAATCTTAACACAATAAACACAGAGCCATATCGAAGTATGGAGCTCCATTAATTTTTAACCTCGGTGCTATAATTCTACAAAGGTGAGTGATTAGCTTTACGCTCCGGCCGATTTTACCACGATACAGAATGTTTCCTCTGTCCACAAGACGAAACAAAGTGTAATTTATAATACAAGACACTTCAGCTCGAATATCTAATAAGGATTTTTGCCCAATAATTATCTATTATTATTCTAAATTTAACGTAGAAATTTCTCATTTTGGGGGGAGGGATACTTTTAAGAATAACAAAATACTAATTTGGAACGCAACTATTACCTGCCTTATTCGTTCTACACCCCCAGCCAACCTCGATTTTATCACGATGTTAATATCTCATGAAAAAGTACCCATCATGCAATTTTCTTCAATTTCCAGTTCATTATTATTTACCGTGCATAAATTTTCCAAAATGTTAATACACTCCTATAATTTTTTTATTTTCTGACCATTTTTGATAATTAACAGCGATAATGGGTTCGCGGACCACAGTGTGATAAACTAAATATGTTTCTATCAGACATCGCGTGTGATATGACGCTAAACATTTACCAAAAAGAATTATATGCAAATATAAAGCAGGAGTAATTAATTCTTACTGCAAATAACTGGCGTATGACCTTCGATAACTGTACTGGCATTGAAAAGAACAATTTATATCGTCGGAAATACACTCGCTCCTTATCAGTAGATCTTGCGATGGGTAGGTATATAAAGTAGACAAATGTCCTGATTGTCAGTCTGAACAGAAAGTTTCTCTTTCAGGTAAGTACTCAGTAAGCTTCAGCTAATATTCTGTACAACACTCTTGTATATAACTCACGGCCTACAAATATTACTTTATTTTTTTTATAAGTTTTAAGTTTAAAATGCATGTCAGATACCTTCTCGTGCTATTTACGACATATTATTAGGACTAAGACATCAAGGACGAGATGGGCAGGGCATGTAGCGCGCACGGGGATAACAGAGTTACGTACAAAATTTTGGTTGATACGCCGAAGGATGATGATTATGAAATAGATATTAGGGAAGTTGGGATGGGCTGGATTAATCTGGCTAAGGACAGGGACCAGTGGCGGACTCTTGTGAACACGATAATGAAATTTCTGTTTCCATAAAAGGCGAGGAATGTTAGTTCCTCAAGGATAATTAACTGAGTTAACTTCGTGGTCGATCATTTACAAATGAGCCTGACTGGAAAGAACATATCTGAAGTGCACTCTAAATTCTAATAAGAGTTGCCCTATTGTTTAAAAATAACCATTCAAACAATTTAAATTAATTAACGGAAGTACAAATTCACAACAACAAAAAATCAGCATGAGAAATATATTTGTAATATACGCTACAGAATACAATGACAGAAAAATTAAATTATATAAACAGGAAAATCTCTGTAATACTGTATTTCGCCACATCTGAGCGCTGTCGTCAATAAATCCGAAACAGAATCTTACGAACTCACGGGATAGAAGTGGAAATATCACTTTTAATATAATAGCCTCACATTATATGTAGCGATATTAAACTTAAATGTGTTTAACTTATACAAAAATATTTTATAGAACCCATTTGCAGTTAATAATAATATTAATATAAGTAGAAGCATTCGATGAAAAAATAAAATTAATAATTCCTTCTCAGGTCATATTTTTAACATCATAATACTGCAAGTTAATACTCAAAAAATGGTATTTATAAACGCATCTCATTACAGAACCATCGGCAGAATGATGTTCTTCATGTTGTGGGCCGCCCTCCTGGCGCGCCTTGTAACTGGCCAGAGCCAAGATTCCTGTTACGCTGACGATGTTAACCCGTACCTCCTGTTTGCCACTGACACACCGTACGAAGAAGTAAATGATATGAACGCAAGACCCGTGATTATTGAACGTAAGTAGACCTACTTAAACACGTCATCCCCAAACTTAAAATTCACTAAACATTTACAAACTAAGACCACACACAATAATGTGCAATGTGAGTGTGAGGTTATGTCATGACATTTTCTTCGCTTGAGAAATAAACGTGTTCATTAATTTTCATAAATATTTTATGTCACAATTTTGAAGGGTTGCAAGTAATGTGTCAAACTTTATCAGTAGTAATCTATCTTGTAGCGCGGTATTTAAAGTTTCCATGATGACGTGAGTCCAGATTATGATATTCTGGATTGTGTAGCGTGTAGCCTTATATTACAGTCTATAAAAGCAGACGGAAAATAAAATATTCGTAACAACATCTGAAACTGATAATTTATTTCTTATTTTACAGAATGTGAAGCTAAGCAGTTCTGGCTGATATCTCGCCATGGAACGAGATATGCCGATGCTGATGAGGTTGATGACCTGAAAGATCTTTATGATCTCCAGGCTAAGATCATCAAGAATCATGAGAAAGATGGAAGTGAGTATCAGTACTGGCATCTGACAGGAACTGTTTGTACTAACACAAATTATGACGATGTTAAACACGATGGACGAAGAATATGAAATCAAGAATATTCTATGGATATCAGGTCCAAAAGTTTTAATTCTCAACATAAATAATATACGCTACAGAATACAATGACAGAAAAATTAAATTATATAAACAGGAAAATCTCTGTAATACTGTATTTCGCCACATCTGAGCGCTGTCGTCAATAAATCCGAAACAGAATCTTACGAACTCACGGGATAGAAGTGGAAATATCACTTTTAATATAATAGCCTCACATTATATGTAGCGATATTAAACTTAAATGTGTTTAACTTATACAAAAATATTTTATAGAACCCATTTGCAGTTAATAATAATATTAATATAAGTAGAAGCATTCGATGAAAAAATAAAATTAATAATTCCTTCTCAGGTCATATTTTTAACATCATAATACTGCAAGTTAATACTCAAAAAATGGTATTTATAAACGCATCTCATTACAGAACCATCGGCAGAATGATGTTCTTCATGTTGTGGGCCGCCCTCCTGGCGCGCCTTGTAACTGGCCAGAGCCAAGATTCCTGTTACGCTGACGATGTTAACCCGTACCTCCTGTTTGCCACTGACACACCGTACGAAGAAGTAAATGATATGAACGCAAGACCCGTGATTATTGAACGTAAGTAGACCTACTTAAACACGTCATCCCCAAACTTAAAATTCACTAAACATTTACAAACTAAGACCACACACAATAATGTGCAATGTGAGTGTGAGGTTATGTCATGACATTTTCTTCGCTTGAGAAATAAACGTGTTCATTAATTTTCATAAATATTTTATGTCACAATTTTGAAGGGTTGCAAGTAATGTGTCAAACTTTATCAGTAGTAATCTATCTTGTAGCGCGGTATTTAAAGTTTCCATGATGACGTGAGTCCAGATTATGATATTCTGGATTGTGTAGCGTGTAGCCTTATATTACAGTCTATAAAAGCAGACGGAAAATAAAATATTCGTAACAACATCTGAAACTGATAATTTATTTCTTATTTTACAGAATGTGAAGCTAAGCAGTTCTGGCTGATATCTCGCCATGGAACGAGATATGCCGATGCTGATGAGGTTGATGACCTGAAAGATCTTTATGATCTCCAGGCTAAGATCATCAAGAATCATGAGAAAGATGGAAGTGAGTATCAGTACTGGCATCTGACAGGAACTGTTTGTACTAACACAAATTATGACGATGTTAAACACGATGGACGAAGAATATGAAATCAAGAATATTCTATGGATATCAGGTCCAAAAGTTTTAATTCTCAACATAAATGGTAACGAATTCAAAAGTTTTAATGCTCAATATAAATGATAACGACTTCAAAAGTTTTAATGCTCAATATAAATGATAACGACTTCAAAAGTTTTAATGCTCAATATACATGATAACGAATTTTAAATTATAAAGATGAAGGTTATGTCACGATATTCATATGAAGTTTGAAGAAAATCCATCTACTGGTTCAAACGGTAGTAAGACGGGCATACATCGCATGTAAGGGCATACAGATGGGCATGATTAACCAACATGCCTGTTTCTCCTTATAAATAACCATCAACAGGTCTTTTAAACATGGCACAGAATAGTAAAGAATTCTCGACACATGATTAGTGAAACTAATGTCTGACGTTTTCTTTTAAACACTAGAGGGTACTTTATGTGCTCAAGACCTCGAAAACCTCAAACTGTGGACTTTGCAAGTTGTCTCAAACGTGAAGAGCGATCTGACTCCCCAGGGTTACAAAGATCTTCATGACTTGGGTGATCGATTCAAGAGCCGGTTCCCAGCACTTTTCAATCAGACGGTGACAAAGGACTCGTTCAAGGTGAGCAACCTCATAGCCACAACACGACTTTTGGACTTCAAGGTCTGTATGAAATAAAGAATCTTCCTACCTAGGTAATAACATCTGACGTCACTGGTTCGCACGTATGTTTTGTATGCAGACAGAACCTGGTCTGAAAACCATCTTGAGCACTAACTCCTGACACAAATTTTGTAGTTTTCTCAATGATGATAAGCATATTCTATGATAGTACTTCCTAACTGATCAAAATATTATTCTGTCACACATCAAATATTACGATATAAAGCCATCTTTCATTTCATAAGATGTTACAACCTCTGAAAATGATGCAGCATAAACAAACAATCAAAATTAAAAGACCATAAATAAAAAAAATTACGCAATTTTGATTTTAATGAATAACATGAAATTCCATGAATAATTTTCCTACTTTCCTCTAAGTACTTCCATGCAGAATTTCACTGTCATAATTAACCATATTCACTTTTCAAGATACTTTAAATGAATTTGTACTGGATAATTTAATAATTCTGGGATTTCATCTGTTTCAGGTCCGATTCACTACAAAGCAGCGAACTGCAGCCAGTGCAATTGCATTTGTGGATGGGTTATTTGGAACTGGAATGGGTCTGGAGTTTCCAGAACCTCTAGATGATGATTTGCTCATTAAGGTAATATCAGAATTCAGTTGTGATATTAACACTGGATCGAAACCAAAATTAAAATTGAAATAATCTTCACCTTGTATCATAACTGCAATTCATACACGGGAAGTTTTAAATTAAAAGAATTGAAAATTCTTAGTACATCAAAATTTATTTTGTTAATGCTAAATATTTTGAACAGAACTCTTTTGTAGTAACAAATCATCTGTTGTACTGAAGCTTCTTTGAGAACTTCAAGAAAACATGACAACTGTATCATATATCCATTTTACCTCTAATCTAGTATTTCACCTACAACAAATTATTATTTTTAATCATCTACTCAATCACATTTAAATCTCTAAGACTTGAAGTTTTCTGTGAACGTATTAAATAAAATCTGGTCACTTGACCTTGAACTCATTGCTGTTAAATGTCTGCAGTTTTAAATAACCAAGCCTTTTTGCCGACAGACTCTTTTGTATTACAGTAATGGCACATTAAACACGTGAATTTGATCCAATTTATAAAATTTGTTTCTGAAACTAATGGACTCATGTTGTAGCCATATGCGAGCTGTAAAAAATGGGAAAAGGACGTGGAATCAAACAAAGATACAACAAAGGAAATGAAAAATTTTGAAGGTGGTGCCTTAGTAACAACACTCCTGGGCACAGTGTCTAGTAGACTGGGATTTGACAAGACACTTGACATTGGTATGTACATCCTACGCTTCAAAATCCATCAAGAAAAGAGGCACGTCAGTATTTCGATGCGCTTGGATGTAAGATGTGTCCTAGTAGCATCGCCTAATAATTAGTGGTTAGAGACACGAACCCAGCAATATCTAAGCAAACAACTCAGATACAGATAATTATTCTATCTTAAAATATTAATATCAAGCCTTTTATAATGTTGTGGCTGGTTTTAGTTATCTATTCATATGTCTGTATCCTTTTTATTTGTAAGAGAGTCAATCGCTGTCCATTCTACTTATTTATCGAGTTTGTATTTAGTTCATTCTCTATATCTTCATTTTCAGTAACACGCAGCTAAATCATTAAAGCCAGCCATGAGACCCTTAACACAGGAATTTAAATATCCTGTCTCCACACAATAAAATACATGTCAAATCTCTCACGGTAATTGTTTTTGAAAAAATAAATTAAAAGCTAAACTAAATTAAGTTTACTGATACTTCTTCCATATCATGGGCAAGAGTTATGTTACTGCATCTCAAGGAACTAGAATTAGAAATTGGTATTCCTTCAAATTAGATTACGAACTACCGGGTCTCCAATTTATGAGCTTACGGTCGTGCTTACATTGCGTTATCGGCCGCTGCTGTTGACGTAGGCGGGACTTTAACGCGTGAGTCACGGGCGAGTCAGTTTCGGTGCCGCTAATAACAGCGAACTACGAATATTTCTCGTCACTAATATACATCGGAGTATCTTCACTATAACTGCATTATTCTTCTTGATGTTCAATCTTTATTTACAGACGACATAAACCTGATATACAGCGCGTGTCGATATGACAAGGCATGGCACCTGGATAAAGTCTCTCCATGGTGTGCAGCCTTCACCGACGACGACCTCAAAGTAAGTCTTGCTGCTTCACGTTGTGTAACTTAAAAACAGGTGTCGAACATATAAACCAAGGAACGTTTCTCATTCTTACACCCACTTTTTCTTCTTTTACTGACTAAATGTTATAATTGAGTGGTTAGCACTCCTGCTTTGTATTTGGGATGTCCGGGGTTCAGATCATGGTTCAGGGACCAACTATCCTGACAGGGATTTTTTGTGCTTTTCCTCAGTCCCTCTGGGCAAATTCTGGGACCTTGCCTTAAATTAGGCCATGGCCACTTCCTTCCCAATTCATTATTCCCTATAATCCACTCATTCAATGCTTTTTGTCAGAGCTATTAAAAGCATCATTAAATAAATTATAAGTATATAAGTATTTATTTAACATTTTTCTGTGGTATTCACACAATATTTTAATTGTAAAATGGAAAGAATGTGTTGTTTTTGAGTTGAGTCCACGTGCTGAGATCGAGACATAAGAATACATGCTACGTATAAAAACAGAGTATAAAATATATGGATTGTAGTCTTCTGTGTTATCCTCTCAACTCAAAAACTGCACTCTTATAAAATTTGAAATAGTTTACCGACTCCAAAATGTGTCAATAACTATACTCTGAGTCCCATCGGATTATCAGTGTCACAACACATACCTATTCCAAGACACTCAGCGTCAATCTGTCCTGTTTGATTTCTTATAGAGATTTTAGAATGACGCAACTTCATTTTGAAAGTCATTGTAAATGTCGTAGGTCCTGGAGTACAGAGAAGACTTGGAACTATACTACAGCACAGGATATGGTAACGATCTGAACAAGAAGGTGGGCTGTCCCCCCGTCAAGGACTTTCTCGATCGCTTTAGGTAAGAGTTCAGGATTTCTGGCAAAATCACGAATAAGGCTGATAACCTTGAAATAAGTTACTCTTACTGATTAATGTGTGATATCTTATATTTCCTTAAATGTGTTCTTGTGCTTCATAAATGTTCTCGGACATTCCTTTTCCGTAAGTCTGGGATAAGAAATCTGTTGTATTTCGTTACTGATTAAATGAAAGCCCTCATCTTTCGAAACTCTGCAAAAATGCTTCGAGCTGTTCGTCTGTCTGAATGTGACAACCCAAGAACAGCTGAAAAGATTTTAATAAAATCCGATATTATGAAGTTTTGCTACAATTTGTTGACACCTTCCATTTACAGTCAGAAATTAGAAAATAACAACAGAAAACGGTACTTGTGGGTTATCGGGACACATCGCTTTAAAAAATAGGTTATGTTAGGTTATGTTAGTTGTCATTTATTGAAATAAAATATAATAACTTTCAAATATATGTCATTTATCCACACACATTAACCTAACCTAATCTAACATAACCTATTTTTTAAGCGATGTGTCCCGATAACCCACAAGTACCCCACGAAACTTATTTAAGCACCTACATACTAACTTTGTGTTGCAAAGACTGCAAGCATCTGACATCTGTTAGGGAATGATTACACTAAATGCTAAGCAAGTTCTATTCTGATCAAAAGTGGAATAAGTGACAGTAGTTTACTGTCTGAGACCAAACTCATTCTGGCACTAAGGCGTATTTAGGTTATTTACATGTTCTTTTCCAGAATTTTCCATAGCAAATCCCAGTTACCATACGTGGATGCAGAATATGAATCAGTCACATCACTGTTGCTCGGTAAATTAATTAAAATAACATGAGTTATCTGTCGTTGCAGCGATATAGAGAAAGGCAACGCACAACCCGCCGGTGTGCTGTACTTCACTCACCATGAAATGATTCTGCTACTTTTGACTTCACTGGGGTTTGATAAGGATCAACAACCTCTGACCAGCAAAAATTATGACCAAATGTCAAATCGACAGTGGAGAAGTTCTGTGATCAGCCCGTTTGCTGCCAATCTTGCAGCGGTATTCTTTGAGTAAGTATGACTTCCGTGTTGACTGCAGATCAGTACGCAACAGTTTGGTCATAAAATCTCAGTGCCATTGTACGGTGCCCTGATTTCTCAGCTTTTTGATTACAATATATGAAACCTCAAAGAAATCTTATCCATGACTCTACAAGAATAATCTGTATAATATGATCAACACTAGAGGAGAATTGATGTATGGCTTTTGTAAAGTGACTGGTCGATCCATTTCATCAATTTCATAATAGAAATATGACACTAAGGTATTCAATTCAGATTTTTGATATTATAACTTAGTAGGAATATTGACATTTTCTCCAGCAGTTTACTCAAACACTGAAATTTAAATTTTTTAATGTGGATAAGGCTAACTAAAACTTATATCGGACTTGTGACAGTATTTTTCGAGAGTCCCCCGATGTTTAAAATGAGACTTGGCCCATAAAATGCTGCCCTTACTTTGAGACCAGCCAATAGATGGGTCAGAGATAAAGCCCCTAACTTACGACTGAGGGTAAGATGATGTGCTGCTGGGGAAGGCAGCGATAGATGAGTATGGACCAACAGAATGAAGCACTCAGATCAATCTCGGACTAAACAGGTTAATGTCGTAAATGTTGCAGATTAATAAGAGGTGAATGTGATGTTTACTTACAGATGTGGAGTGGGCGAACCATACCGAGTCCAGCTCTACTTCAATGAACACCTGCTGGACATTGATGGCTGCACCAAGGGGCTGTGTGACTGGTCATACTTTAAAAAGCAGTTTGGGTCCATTTCCAGTTCTTGTAATCTTGATTTCTGTTAAAATAAAGATTAAATAATGAAATCATGCCAGAGATATTGGGTGTTTTAATTTACAAGGCAATTATTGGTGTCCAACACTAGTTTTTAAAAATTAATTTGTCAAAATGTTAGATCCCTATCTTCTAATTAAATTTGTGTTATCACAATTTAATTATATCTTATATTTTATTTTAATTTATCCAGAATCCCAGATCCTGAAGTGTTTATCTTCTTTAGCTCTTATATCATGTAATGGTCTTCTACAGTCCTACTATTCTGCATTTTGTTACACCTGTAGCCACAAACTGTAAGCATTATATCTCCCTATATACCAAGCACTAATCTTTGTGAACTAAAGCACTGACCAAGTCTTCCCAAAATTTTTTTACGGTCATTGCTTTCAGATTAATAGAGTCCCAATTCTTGTTTTTTCCTTCATAAACATTACTAACAAACTAGGGTGACTGGGTGTGGAGAACTCTGCATTTTAACCTGCTCTAAACCGTTGGCATTATAAAACAAACTGGATATTTCCTGTTTCAGAAGGACAGCTTGAATTTGCTCCAAGAAAAGATCTCTCTCTATCTCACACACAAATTGTAACTGAATTACCCCCCCCCCCCATTTCCTTACCACTGTTACTAGATTCGACTAGATATACGACGCATCCATCGTGTTAAAAAAAGCCATGTATAAAAAGTTTAACAGTACTGAAGTACGCTGGTTGTTGATTTGAAGTCTTGTGCGAGGTGTGCACGGGAGAAATTTTTGGAATTTCACCCGGCCTGAGGTTTATCTTTAAATATCACCCGTACCTCACCTTTGTCCGACTTACTTGTATTCCAGCCCAAATTAAGCCCGATCTATTTACAATCTGCAACGAGTACCATGCCATCAATACATGTTTCTTTAAATGCGTGTCGGTAACGAATTATTTAAAGACACTCCAACTACGAAAACCTGCGGAAAAACCACACCGGTGGGATTTGTTCCGGTGACAACTGAGACATGAGCATAAGATGAGCGCAGCTACGAATAACATTTTATTTACGAAAAAAGAACGGTCCGAAAAAGCCCGAAATGTTCTATATCACGTTTGACTGCTATCATTTGAACCAGGCCCCAACCTGAATTTTACCTGTACTACCAGGTCTAGGTCCAGGCCTTGGCCGGTGAACTTGGGATTGACCTTTCTACCGAATGTAATGAATGTTTAGTCACATGACTAACAGACAAATCATCGGTAAAATGGAGCCCCTACACAAACCAGTTTTGTAGAACTTGCCATTTGTTTGTAAAGTTACCGCCCACAGAAACCGCTGGATGACGATAATAATAATAACAACCACAACAAATCGTTTAGTCACATGACTAACAGACAAACCATCGGTAAAATGGAGCCCCTACATAAACCAGTTTTGTAGATGATGATAATAATAATAACAACCACAACAAATTCAATCGACAAAACAGAATTATTACTTACGCCTTGTAATCTGGTAAAAGTTTACCAACGTTTCAAAGATGCTTGCTGCCTCCTTCATCATGGACTCCCGCCAACCCTTGCGTGCACACACGTATGTAATCATAGAAGTTCGCACAACACTTTACTTAAAAAGGAAGCTTGATATCCAAACACGCTTCGCATTGAGAAACATCCATGTGTACCGACTGCTCTGGAGGAGGTTTTTCGTTGTTTTTCCTTCCAGTAGGTTGCATGTAAATTCATTCTTTCCGTCAACGTATAAAACAGTTCATGTTTGTCAAACTTGTGAAGTAAAACACAAATACAGTATGGCTTATGCAATCTGAAACGGAATACGATATGCACTCACAACTGTCTCTTAGAAAATGCATAATTTCTCTTCACAGAGCTATATATAATAGGCTGCCTATAAAATAGTGTTTCTGAAACGATAATGATAGGGGTTTCGAGATTTTAACTAGCTAGTAGCCAATTTGTTTTACTCACTTCAAGACTTTTAGTCATTTTTACCATCACTGCCTACACCATGAAATGAAAGACTGTCAACAAGTACCGTTTTGAACAGCTTTGCACGTGCAACAACATACACAATAGATAAGCAAGGATACCATCATAAAAGTAAATTCAGCATTTACGAAACCGATTATCACCGTCACCGTCTGCGACAAACAGTGAACACGTGCAGTACACTGGAGCCCTCATCAATTAAACTGACAGCGGTCCTGCTGTACTATAGTATTTCAGTGCTTAATAAAAACGTCGTGCATATGATGCAGTAAGCGCTTTCACAAAACAGGTTAAATCAAAGAAAATTGTATTTTCTATTGCAAATTTTTAATAAAATTATACATATCCATAATTCTTAACAAATTACGAAATATTTTTATGTATTATGATACATACAATGTTAAGTGCACTTGTATTGGAATTTACAGTAACTGAACAAGCTTTGTATAGAACTGCTACAACATAGCAGGGAACAATATAGAAAATGTATACACCATGTTAGAACTTCTCTGATTTTTGTTCATGGACTGAAGTTTGTGGTTTCCTGCATCTTCTAGTAAATGGGAATAGTGTTATCTCATGGGACAGTCAAATGCCCATATTTCATTATAAGATACATCTATGTTTTCACAGGTATTAGATTATGTACATTCACATATGTCAAATCAGAATGCCATTTTCACTTTACAAGAATAACTAGATATGATAAAGTGGAAATTTGCTGACTAGCCAAATGAATCTTGACATCCAGCCACAGCGGCCACCCAGTAAAGATGGGCTGCTCACTACGGTTCATTTCAGTGTAATTCTTCTCTATCTCAACCTGCAAGATCACCTGAGGGGTCCACAATTTTCATTTAAGGGCTAGATATCAAGACACTTCATACCATGTGTAATATTCCTGCTAGATGTCCGATCTCTGTATAATTTTCTAAAAAATAAATAAAATGTTTCTTGAATAACTGGGGAAGAGAGAACATCTCAGGTACAGAATCCATCCTCCACTCAATCAGAACTTAAGACGGAGCCATCGTGCAAGTGAAGAAAATTTATTAAATAATAATGCATTTAATTAAAATACAACACTGCAGCATCAAGTGTAGATAAAATTCTGACCTCTTTAAAAATAATGCTTCATTAAACTGCTGATCCCCAAAGCAAAATTTTACACACCAATGTCATGGTATAGAGAGAAACAAGTTTAAATAATTGCATGCATAGAGACTGAAGTTGGTGTAACTGAAGAGTGAACTTCATATGTGCGACAAAAGAAAACACTATAAAGTATTTCTTGTCGTTATCGCAATACAAAAACAAGGTAAGGGAAAGTGGACGTTCCAACTCACTCATTTCAATGGTGGGTAAACATGCAATGAACCCCCAGTGAAAGAGTTCTATTGCCCCATTACCCACCCACTGGATGGAACCTACAGCTGCTCTGTATGTGGCGGTAAAGACAGAGATCTCAATGCCCCAGCCAGAAAACAAAACCCTGACCAATGACTCTGAATCTTATCGATTAAAATCGATTGACATATCACAGCCATTAACTTTTATCGCCCATGTGATGCAGCTGGCTGCGTGTCGCACTAACTTACTGCTATACCCTTAAACCCAGAGCCAAAGTCTGGCCAGCAGACCTGTAATATGGATTTTTAAATCCCATTTGCATATGATAACGGTTAAATTACTTAACGCACAAAATGTATGTGTGATCATTTCAGGCCTGTTTTTTTTTCAGGTGCATTTAATAAAAAAACAGCCTATTAGCTCTACTGTACTACTTCCAGATGGCATAATAATACGTGGGAAAATTTATTATAATTTTAGTTTATACTTTTTGTAACTTTATCATATTTTCAGAATAAGTATGCTTCATCCAATAAATAGTCAGAGCCAAAGAAAGGTATAGAATAGTGTACACTGCGGCTAAATCAAAACTTTATTCTTAATCATTTCTTGCTCGTGATGATCTAAGAACCGCTATTATATCACGTGCAGTGTGCACACTTTTTGAGTCCTGTGTCAGAACTCATTTCCCCATCTTCACCAAACGATTCATAATAATCTCTTACACTTTTCCCATTATAAAAATACAAATAAAAATATTCACAGCATGTTATATATCATAGAAATATCCTGTTGTAAGTGTTTAACATCAGTATCATAAACATGGTTTTTTTTTGTACACATAAAATATATTTCATTTTTACACTCCATCAGACAAATAAGTACTGTAAATCCATCTAAAAACAATACTGAATCTTTATAAAAGGTGTACAATACAGACCTAAGAAGAGTCTAAACTTTATATTAAAAATATCTTATTTACAGATACTGTTTAAGCTCACTATGTTAACTATAAACTATAGTTGCCCCATCTTGCTCACAGATATTACAAACAAACCAGTACAGTCTGTTCAGTAAAAACAACGAGGCACTTGTTCACAGCATATCGTTAAGGGGATTCTAAACCTACAGAGATTGATACACGTGCCATTATCATCTGCTAACCAAAGAGTAATTACTCAGCATTTCTGAAACTGACTCACTCTGTGAAGAAGGTCCATTATGTATGATTCCAGATACACCAATTGGCATGAGACTCTGTGCGCACTAGCTCACGCTGCTGTGCAAGGCGTTTTCGTATTGGTTTTACAGAATTTTGATTACACGGTAAAAGCATTAGCACAACCATTTACTTTTGAAAATTACTATACTGATACTAAAATAAAGTCTTAATCTCTTCATTGCACATTCTGTTCTAAGTAAAAAAACATAAAAAGAAGTTTGCATAAGTCTAAAAAATATGCATGTGAGAAGTTAGCAATGACAGTCACAAAACTATGTAAGTGGAACACAAGATTGTGGTACGGAAGATGCAGATGCACCCTTGGGATGGCATTAAAGAGGCTCGTGTTTGGTTAAAGAGTATTTCATGCTCGATGACATCTACAGTCTGGATAAAAGTACATTCACACATGCTATTACTCGCACAATACGAGCGCCAGACAAGATTAATCATAATCTGTAAAAGAGCTCAAAAAGTACACAAATGAATTGA